GGTGGGCTCGAACCACCAACCTTTCGGTTAACAGCCGAACGCGCTAACCAATTGTGCCACGGAGGCTTGAGAAATAAGTAAAACAAATTTGTAGTAACGCGGAATTACTATGATATCGAAGTGTTGTAATAATAACCGAGTTTACCTGAGAGTCACTAATAGTGGCCTCGATGAGGACAGGAGGCCGGCGGCTTGTCGAAGGTTCCCCATTTGCCTTGATGATCTTTTCCTGATGATAATTCCTAGTGTCCTAATGCCTAAAGTAACCTAGTGTCTAGTGACCACAACGGAAACAGGAAGCCGGCAGCTTGTCAATGGTTCCCCCATATTTCCTAAGTTTCCTCCTTTTCTTTCTTCCTTAATTTTCCTCCCCCCCTCCCCCCCCCAAAAAAAAAAGACTGAGGTTGGAGTCCCTGTGACTTCTTTTACCAACTTGGAGGTTAACTCCGCCACTGGAGCCCCCTGGGGGCCCCTGGGGGGCAATTGGTTGTTGCCTTCAACCTCGTTCTGACAGTTCCTGCGACGACGCTGGAACCAATCATATTGGCGCTTGCCTTTCCATTGGAGACTTTCGGCGCTGTGGGGGGGGGGGGACCTGCTGCATGGGTGACAGCTTCTCCTCCATATTAACCTACCGTGGCTTTGGGCCCTCGGGAGGCCACTCCAGACCGACAACCAGAGCGCAACTCCATAGTCTCCTGAGACTGATGGACGCCTACTACTTGGATGGTCCACCAGTTTTTACATTCGTGTAAAGCCACTAGCACGCATAGCGTTTTGGGCAGGTCCTTTATCATAATACAGGTAGGTATTAATTAATAATACAGGTAGATCTACCTAATACAGGTAGTAGATCTACCTAATACAGGTAGTAGATCTACCTAATACAGGTAGTAGATCTACCTAATACAGGTAGTAGATCTACCTAATACAGGTATATTAATAATAATATTAATTAATAACCCCGGAATACGACCCGCCAAATCGTTTAACAAGGTACCCTTTCACTGCTGGGTGAACAGAGGCGTACAGTTAAGGATTGGGACCTAGTCAATCCTCCCTGGCCAGGGTAACGAACTCAGACTAAATTGCTCGCGAAGTGCGGGGCTAGTGTTTTACCACTGCGCCACTGGGACTGCATGTATCACTGCATGCACGGGGACCAGTCATTGAAAGTTGCACAACAATTGGGAACTCTAATAAGAAAGTCAACCAAACCGTAGGAATAGTGAAACGAACCTTCGACTTCAAGGAAAATCGAGTTATTGAACTGTAAACACCTCTGGTGCGCCCACATTTGAACTGCTGTATCAAGCATAGAAGCCTCAGCTTCAGAACATATCTGCTGTGGAGAAAGTATACAACGCAGAGCGACAAAAAGCGTCTCAGAACTAAATTAGCTCCCATACCAGGAACTGTTGAGGGCCACAGTGAACACTGCAAGCCAGACGTGGCATGGCGGATCCCATAGAAACTTATAAAATACTGAACAAATTGGAGGATTTAATGAATCCAGACCACTTCTATAAAAGGTCGCATGTAACATATACATGGGGGGGGGGGGGCAACAGCTTAATCAAGCCCAACAAATCACAATCACCCCCCCCCATCCATCCGTCCACACAACTCTAGTATCACCTATTGGTACTGGTAATGGCTCGAAAAGTCTCCTCTTACGGGCTATTCATGCCCGTGCCACCTTTAGGGCGACTTGCCCGAAACGCTACGCGTACTAGTGACTTAGGTATTGTATGTACCAGCTCTATCTATAAATCCAACATTATGTTTGTAAATCAACTATGTATGTACTTTTCTGAATAAAATTTACTTTACTTTATCAATCAATCGTCATAATATAGGAGGAAAAAAAGTTTTCCCCATAAAGCTATCGACCCCTGGAACAGCCTACCTGCCAATGCGTAACTCTCACCACTCGGGATGAGCGTACTGTATTATAAGCGAACTAAGTTGAAAACGCACACCCGAGGCCGCCCTCGTGTAATCCCACACTAGTTGAAATTGAAATAAGTTTATTGAGGTAAAATACACACAAAGGGATAAGGTAGCTCAAGCTATTCTCACCCCGTCACACTAGTTGACTGACCATTGTCGTGTTCATTAAGATCTGTAACAATTTTCTCCTGTAAATATTTCTGGGATTAGAATTCCAGTTAATGTCTGAAAATTGCTGTCATGTATTTGATATTTTGATAAAGTTTGAAATGAACCTTTCGGAATTTGTAATAATCAAAACTACGCCCCCGGGTGGGCTCGAACCACCAACCTTTCGGTTAACAGCCGAACGCGCTAACCAATTGTGCCACGGAGGCATATCAGTTCAGTAACCCTATTTTATTATTTAATAAGTGTCATATTTCAAGTGTGTTTAGTTGTAGTATAACACGTATGATAGCATAAGTGTACGAAATTAGACATTTACCTATATTCACCTATATTCAACGACTTTTATAGTCTCGTCGTCGTTATTTTAGGGTTGTGGAACCCTGTCAACGTATTTCTCTGGGGTTACCTGATTTCACCTTAGGGCCACCATCTCTCACATGGGTATGGGGTGCATAATAAATAAGCTAAACTAAAATTAACTCTATATATGGTCTTACTGTGTATGTGCTTTTATGTATGGTCATTAATGGGGTTGGGAAATAATAATTTGAATATTAATTCATTGTGTCGTTGGGGACAGGGAGCCATGCAAGTTATACATGCAGTACATGTTAGGCTTATATCGAGGTCCTTCCCCCCCCCCCCATCCCCAAGGTCGAATTAGTCACCCCGCCCAGGATGCAACCCCAAATCTGACTAACTCCTGGGTACCTATTTACTGCTAGGTGGACAGGAGCATGAGGTGAAAGGAAACGCGCCCAACCTTTTCTGTTCCGCCGGGGATTCGAACCCATTTTAAATTCTCTATTGCGAGTCGAGAACGAACCCGTGTGTATACCGGGACTCTTATAGTGTCCCAAAGAGACCCAGTGATCTGTTAGCTTAGCGAACATTACTTCCAGCTACAATGGTAGGTCTCTGAACAACTTTCCTAACTTTTCCGGTCATACATTATATGTAAGTACTGTATTTAGTTTCATGTATGATTATTAGGTAAGGTTAGACTAAGTTTAGCTAGTCTACCCTAGATCTGGCTATTAGTGAATAGGTTTAGCTAAACTAGAATAGATAATGATGGGTATGGGGTTCATAATAAATGAACTAAAAGCTAACTTAGCCTGTATATATTAGGTTAATCAAGATCAGGTTCAATGGGAATTAAGGCATGCAGCTGGGATATTAACTCATGCCGTGAAAATATTGCCGCCGCTAACACGACTTGTAGATACCATTGTTCTTATTTAACTGATGCTATCACCATCTGTAATTAATAGTAACTGATACTACCACCATCTGTAATTGATACTACCACCATCTGTAATTGATACTACCACCATCTGTAATTGATAGTAATTGATACTACCACCATCTGTAATTGATAGTAATTGATACTATCACCATCTGTAATTGATAGTAATTGATACTATCACCATCAGTAATTGATAGTAATTAATACTACCACCATTTGTAATTGATAGTAATTGATACTATCACCATCTGTAATTAATAGCAATTGATACCACCACCATCAACTATATAAAGAAAATAATAACGTTATCATTATCTGGTTGTCAACTGCCTTTATCTCCTCTCTTGGCTTTGAACTTGAGATAGCAACGGTTAATTATAGTCGTCACCTCCAGTACGGCATTATTCAGCTTGTCCTCACCTTAAACATTGTATAACGTACGTAACGTGAAAGAATGTATGTGGCTGGTAAACACTGTACTTAGGAGAGTATCAGTTGCTGGCGCTGTTTTCGCCCTTAATACATACACTAAATTTGTTTGGTCACGAGGGTAAAAATTAAGAGAAGAATGAAAGAAATGTATTAGGACGACAAACTACTGCGGTGTTTCACGGCTCAACATTAAGTAGTGTAAAGGGGAAGGGGGTAGAAATAGACTAAACTACTCTATCCTTCAGGTAGGGGTAGGGGGTTAGAAATAGCCTAAGCTATTCTAGAAATTAGAAATAGCTTAAGCTACTCTATCCTTCAGGTACGGGTAGGGGGTTAGAAATAGCCTAAGCTATTCTAGAAATTAGAAATAGCTTAAGCTACTCTATCCTTCAGGTAGGGGTAGAGGGGCTAGAAATAGCCTAAGCTATTCTAGAAATTAGAAATAGCCTAAGCTACTCTATCCTTCAGGTAGGGGTAGAGGGGCTAGAAATAGCCTAAGCTATTCTAGAAATTAGAAATAGCCTAAGCTACTCTATCCCTTTCAGATGTTTTTTTCTTTTCGTGTCTCAATAAACATACTTGAACTTGAAGTAGTGTAAAACAATTATACTTTATTAATATTAATTAAACTGCAAATTTTCCTCTACGTAATTTAATCAGTAAAATTCTAATATAGATTCTTCTCGTCTCGTCTTCCTATTTTTAATGCTCTTCCTCTCATAGAGAATAGTGAATTCGAGGAGGGTCAGTGACACTGTATGTGTCACGTGTGACTATGTACACTGTCACGTGTGACTATGTACACTGTCACGTGTGACTATGTACACTGTCACGTGTGCTATGTACACTGTCACGTGTGACTATGTACACTGTCACGTGTGACTATGTACACTGTCACGTGTGACTATGTACACTGTCACGTGTGACTATGTACACTGTCACGTGTGACTATGTACACTGTCACGTGTGACTATGTACACTATCACATGTGACTATGTACACTATCACATGTGACTATGTACACTGTCACGTGTGACTATGTACACTGTCACGTGTGACTATGTACACTGTCACGTGTGACTATGTACACTCACGTGTGACTATGTACATTGTCACATGTGACTATGTACACTGTCACGTGTGACTATGTACATTGTCACATGTGACTATGTACACTATCAGGTGCAGCGTTACCCTGCAGCTTGTCTCAGTCACCAGCAGACTGTCTTGTATCTCTCACCTATAGGAACGTTCAGGCCGCTATAGAGACGCTCTCCTCGTTTCCAGTGTATCTATCCTGAGAGCGTCTAGTGTGTCCTCGAAGGTATCCTGAGAGCGTCTAGTGTCACCTCGAAGCTATCCTGAGCGTCCCTGGAGCTGGTGACTACATCTTCCTTCATCTCTACACCGGCCATACAGCTCCTGCCTCAGGTAATCACAACTAATATGGATGTATAACCAACAACTTAGTACGGCCCAAATGCCGTGAGGTGATGTTTCTCTAGTGAATTCATCTATTTGTTTTTAGTTTTTTTCGTAATTTGTTTGGAAATATGGGTGTACGTGGGAATATATTTTACGTACAGGTACATACACGAACGTGATGTACGTACAGGTTATGTCTGTGTATAGAAGAGTTCTTACATTCTTATACATGTATCATGTGTTTCCAGCCCCGATTGTTTTTAAAAAGGAAATGAAAACTCTTATGAAATTATCTCGAAGCCTCAGCATCCAAAATTATTCATAGCTAAGACCTTAAGCCGTGCTTAAATTTATTTGTATTATACAGTCCTTGTAGCATCCCAGCAAGCACACTACCCAAGAGCAGTGTTAATTCATCGTTGTTTCCATGTTGTCATGCACTGTAGTATTGTGCCAGTGTTGTCAAGCACTGTACTATTGTGCCAGTGTTGTCAAGCACTGTACTATTGTGCCAGTGTTGTCAAGCACTGTAGTATTGTGCCAGTGTTGTCAAGCACTGTAGTATTGTGCCAGTGTTGTCAAGCACTGTACTATTGTGCCAGTGTTGTCAAGCACTGTACTATTGTGCCAGTGTTGTCAAGCACTGTAGTATTGTGCCAGTGTTGTCATGCACTGCAGTATTGTGCCAGTGTTATCAAGCACTGCAGTATTGTGCCAGTGTTGTCAAGCACTGCAGTATTGTGCCAGTGTTGTCAAGCACTGCAGTATTGTGCCAGTGTTGTCATGCACTGGAGTATTGTGCCAGTGTTGTCATGCACTGCAGTATTGTGCCAGTGTTGTCATGCACTGCAGTATTATGCCAGTGTTGTCAAGCACTGCAGTATTGTGCCAGTGTTGTCACTGCAGTATTGTGCCAGTGTTGTCACTGCAGTATTGTGTCAGTGTTGTCATGCACTGCAGTATTGTGCAAGTGTTGTCATGCACTGCAGTATTATGCCAGTGTTGTCAAGCACTGCAGTATTGTGCCAGTGTTGTCACTGCAGTATTGTGCCAGTGTTGTCACTGCAGTATTGTGCCATTGTTGTCACTGCAGTATTGTGCCAGTGTTGTCACTGCAGTATTGTGCCAGTGTTGTCAAGCACTGCAGTATTGTGCCAGTGTTGTCACTGCAGTATTGTGCCAGTGTTGTCACTGCAGTATTGTGCCAGTGTTGTCAAGCACTGCAGTATTGTGCCAGTGTTGTCAAGCACTGCAGTATTGTGCCAGTGTTGTCACTGCAGTATTGTGCCAGTGTTGTCACTGCAGTATTGTGCCAGTGTTGTCAAGCACTGCAGTATTGTGCCAGTGTTATCAAGCACTGCAGTATTGTGCCAGTGTTGTCAAGCACGGTAGTATTGTGCCAGTGTTGTCAAGCACGGTAGTATTGTGCCAGTGTTGTCAAGCACTGCAGTATTGTGCCAGTGTTGTCATGCACTGCAGTATTCTGGCCAGTATGTCGTGTGGCACTTGACAATGTATTAAGAAATCTTCGGCAACTGGAAAGATTCGGTCTGCATAATTGGACATTTTTTCCCTCCCTAGACTCCCTCTCAGGATGTCGCTGCCGAGTAAGATGCGGTGCCTGGTGAAGCAGTCGGAGGCTGAGGGCTACGACCTGACCACCCGCCCCGTGCCCACCCCGGAGCCCGACCAGCTCATCATCAAGGTCCACAGAGTAAGGACACAGCCTAGTACGTCAGGCCTACGTCAGGCCTACGTCAGGCCTGTCATATAAGGGCGTATGTTTGCGTCAACACAAAACAACTCATTCAAACTGCATAATAAAAAATGCCCGAAACCCTATGTGTACTAGTGGCTTTAGGTATTGTATGTACTACCTCTATCTTTAAATCTAACAATGTTTGTACTGTGACGCTGCAACTATGTATGTACTGTTCCTAAATTATTATTATTATTATTATTATTATTATTATTATTATTATAGATTAAAACTAGCTCTGAAAAATAAAGGTTTCATATGTTCAGAACAAGTGCCAAGTTGCACTGTAACTCAGTAGGCAGGTTGATGCATAGGTTTGATAATTACACGACTATAGGAGTGTTTGGACATAAATATGAACTGCCTTGCACAGACCAATAGGCCTTCTGCAGAGTTATTTATACCTATATCTTGTTAATTTTTGTACAAGTCCAGCCTAGCCTAGGTAATCCTAATTAGTAGAGTATGGTGTTATTAGTCGGGAACAAAGGATAGCATTTCCAAACCCATCATCTCTCCTTTGTACTTTGTTCGTGAAATGTTCACTAATTATAAAAGTCAATATAATGAACACTGGTATGGGTTGTTACACAGCCTAGATTACCTTAGGTCACCACAAGTCACTTGAGGTTATCCCAAACATTGCAAGTCAGTAACAAATACAAATATTCATTCAGGTAAAGTACATACATACAAGGTGAGATACAAAAAGTTGATGGATTTATAGATAGAGCTAGTACATACAATGCCTAAAGCCACTATTACGCAAAGCGTTTCGGGCAGGACAGTATAGGTCATGGAAGGGTAACCACGTCACCTTATCTCATAGCAGGTCACTAACATTACAGGTGTCCATCTGCGGGTCGGACATCAACCTGTGGAAATGGAACGATGTTGCTCAAGTCATCGCCACCCTCCCCTTTATCCCAGGTCAGTGGGCAGCCCGTGTTTCACCACCAAAGATCACATTCACCACAAAAAATCTACCACTTACTTATCTTTATCAGTCATCAATCAACCCGTTCTCATGAGCGTTCCCAGTGTCAAGGAATTATATCATCCTAAAGTGCCCTATCTTAACCTACCCACGAACAGAAAAAACTTTTCCTTCACGTATCATTGCCGTAGAGGTCACTATGGATATAGCTCAATACCCGATATAAGAACACAACAAACAGGAGCAGAGTGGCGCAGTGGAAGCGTGCTGGGCCCATAACCCAGAGGTCCGTAGATCGAAACTACGCTCTGCTACAATAAGTTTTTTTTTTCCTCGCGGTTACACAACTTGGACCCACGAACAGAAAACGGGACATTATAAATTTCACGAGCCTTCCATTTTCGTCAGCCAGCTTGTGTAGATCTCTGCCTGCAACCCAACTTAATTTCTTTATTATGCGCCCCATATTTATCCCTGGACAATTCTCAAGTCGAATGGTCCAGGTCGGACCGAAACGTCGTCGTCCCTTCACCTTCTAGTGTGTGGTCTTGTCATCAAAATTGCGTTATTAATGACATGGTGGAAATCCAAGCAAGAAATTAGTTTCTGTGAGTTGGGACAGGCAGGACCAGCTTCACTAGCTAAGCCATCCGCCAGGTACAGAGTAACAACAATGGCTGGGAACCCAGCAAAATTCACCTGTTTTGCATTTTCTAAAGATGAGGAGCAGCTAGTGTTGGATTTCAATCACCACGGAATGTGAAGGGTTAATAGTTATTACACACAGAGATCACACTAACGTGATGCATCAAATGAACAAATCCACAAGGGCCGTGACGAGGATTCGAACCTGCATCCGGGAGGATTCGAACCTGCATTGTTTCAAGGGTTAATAGCATCTGGACAATGAGAGCACCGAGTCAACTGCAACAAAAAATTATTATTGACACGACAGCTTACTGTTTTGGAACATATAAATTGCATAAATGTCTGTAGTAAAAATATCCGTCTTCGGGGAGAGGAGAGGCGGCGCGCCGTGTCTGACCAGGAGTAACTGTGAACCCAAAGTCATCAGACTTCAACCAGCCGTAACACGGTAGCGTGTGAATAGTCCTCTAGTACAGTGGTCTACGTTCTCGACTCACAATCTCAAGAGCTCGGGTTAGATCTCCGGCCGGGACAGAAATGATTGGCCACGTTTAATTTCACCTGATGCATCTGTTCACCTACCAGTAAATAGGTACTTTGGTATTGGGGAACTGTTGTGGGTTGCATCCTGAGGAAGGTCACAATTTCGATCTAACGGGATTACCTTGATAAGCCTAAGTGCAAGCCTCGCGTCTCGACACCAAGAATTAATCAAATGTTTATAAAAAATAAATAAAATAATTTATTAGGTAAGGTACATACATACAATAAATTTTTACAAAGATTGGTTGACTTATAGGTAGAGCTAGTACATACAATGCCTAAAGCCACTATTACGCAAAGCGTTTCGGGCATGATAAACTTTGTTTGTCTCGTTTCCTATGTGAGTTTATGGATGTGTTGGTGTTGTATCTAAACGTAGAGGTGTACATGAATACTAAGCCGCGTCTTGTGTGGCGCACCTGTCATGCGGCCCCTGCAGGACACGAGGCTACGGGGGAGGTGGTGGAGGTCGGGTCCGCCGTCACGACGGTGAGGAAAGGCGAGCGGGTCGCCGTAGAGAACCATTACTACTGCGGCTCCTGCTACCAGTGCCAGGTGAGGCGCCCACATCCTCATCACAGAGATCTACCAGAAATTTAGTAGGTAGATCTACCTACTAAATTTCTAGGTAGATCTACCAGAATTGTTTACCACTTGTCCCCCATTTTGCTAACTGCAGGTAGTGAATACCAGTGATTGTAACCTTAACCACCGCCGCCCACTGAATGGATGATGAAAAGCAAATCAATTTATGTACATCAGGTGTAAATTGTTTAGCTTAGAGACTTGGCTGTGGTCTTGAACCCATTGTTGATATATACATTAAACTGTGTAACTAGCTTATCAAAACTGAAAGTTCTTAGCCAAATTAATTTTTGGGTTCATTTACTGAGCTTGTGACGTACAGCTCGTCCTTAGACCAAGTTCATTCCATCCAGCGGTCGACCCCAAAGACGCATTCATCACTTAACATGGTGTTCGTTCAAAATAGGAATTTTCTCAAATATAAAATATTATAGTTAAATATTAACATATTGTGAATATTTAGGCATTGATTAGGCGCTTAGGTTCTGTTTGTGATTATTTGTGCAACCCGTCCTCGACTCAAGTCCATTACATCCAGCGGTCGACCCCACAGACGCATTCATAAATTGTTACATGCTGTTCATTCAAAACAGGAATTTTCTCAAATATAAATTAATATTATAATATATTAACATACTGTGCGTGTATAGGCATAGGTTAGGTTAGGTGTTTATGTTCTGTTGGCGATTATTTGTATTTGTAGTACGTGGGTGAAGCATTTATAGCGTTGTGATTCGAACAAAATTCGTCAGTGAAGCACTTGTTCCGGATATGTTTGAACGTCATCAGTTGTGAGTCGTGTGTAAACCGTTTTTCATTCATAAACAGGGGGGTTGGCGGGTGCATGGAATCACTTTTGGGTCTTTGTTTGGAGGACGGGCTTTTTGTTGATGAGAACGGCCCGACTCACAGCTGATGACGCAACCTGTCCTACAAACAAAGACCAAAAAGTGATTCCATGCACCCGCCAACCCCCCGCTATTTATGAATGAAAAACGGTTTACACACGACTCAACTGATTTCGTTCGAACACTTCCGGAACAAGTGCTTCCCTGATGAGTTTTGTTCGAACCACAACGCTGTAAATGCTTCACCCACGTACTACAAATACAAATAATCGCTAACCTAACCTAAACACCTAACCTATGCCTAAATGTGCACAATATAGCATTATAATATTAATTTATGTTTGAGAAAATTCCCGTTTTGAATGAACAGCATGTTAAAATTTATGAATGCGTCTGTGGGGTCGACCACTGGATGTAATGGACTTGAGTCGAGGACGGGTTGGATGACGTTCAAACATTTCTCGAACAGTGCTTCACTGACGACCACTGTTCGAATCGCTACGCTGTAAATACTCACCACGTACTTCAAACATAAATAATCCAGCCAGTTCTCATAAACAAAGGCCAAAGTCTATTCCATGCACCCGTCATATACCCTTGTTTATAAGTGAAAAACGGTTTACACACGACTCTACTGATAACGACCGAAAACTTCCGAAACATGTACTTCGCTGATGACTTTTGATGGAACCACAACGCTGAAAATGCTTCACCCACGTACTACAAATATAAATGATCGTCAACGGAACCTAAACACCTAACGTAACCAATGCCTAAACATTCACAGTATGTTAATATATAACAATAGCACTTTCGCGGCCCGTGGAGTTAACTGTGTACTATCAGGGAAATGCACCGTTCGTTTCGGGCAACCGCGCGGCCACACTAAAATGTTTATAATCTTTTCGGTCTGCTCACCTTAATTTTCCATGTATGTATTTAAATTTGGTATCAATTTGTTCGCAAGAGAATGCTCTAGAGGAATATATATGTAAAATTTCACCAAATTCGACATGAGACCCGCAACAAATAAAAAACTATGGCAATCGTTAGCGGTGAGCGTCAAACCACGCTGAAATGTTTATGATCTTTTCATGTTTGTCAATCCCAGAATTGTGCTATGTCAATTTTGGTATCACTGTGACCGCAATAAAATTCCCTTCACGGACATATGCATATAAATGTAGAATCATAATCGCGGCCCACCCGCAAGAGTGTGGGAAGTGGCTGAAGTATTACCTCTTGGCACACCCGACGGCAGATCGCGGAAACACCTTTTGAAAAGTGTATATTCTTTTCACTGTTCTGGCCTTAATTTTCTATGTACGCACTTAATTTTTGTACCAATGTGTTCGCAATAGAATGTTCTAGAAGAACATATGTATAAAATGTCACACAAGGATGCGTTAGACCGGCACCAAATAAAGAAACTTCGTCGATTATACTCGTCGTGTCAACATTACAATAGTTTTACCCCGAAGATACAAGCTAATTCCGTTCTCCCAAATAGGTTATGTGGCTATTAGAGAAAACGAAAATTTAATGGCAAACATGTTTAAATTATCCCCAAGTCGATCGGATAAGAATTGGATTTTTTATAAATATTTTTCAAAAGCCGCTTGAGGTGCATTCAAGAGAAAAATATATGTCCTGCTCAAGTGACATATGGGTGCTAAATTGTGCGCAATCTAAAGGTCCTCATTTTGAAACCACTACCAGATTGATCGGATAAAATTTAAATTTTTAACATATATTTTAATGAGTCACTCTGGGCCGTGTCGTCCGAGAGGAATCGAGAGAAAAATGAGCGACTAGAGATCTTGTCGCTAGCGCGCGTAAGTGCTAATTTATATTTGAGAAAATTACCATTTTGAATGAAATGTTAAAATTGATGAATGCGTCTTTGGGGTCGAGCGCTGGATGGAATGGACTTTGTCGGAGGAAAGGTTGAAGTAGTCCCCAATAGAACCTAAATACCTACCCTAACCTATGCCTAACTTTACACTAAACTTTATTATACATAATAATATTAATTTATGCATAAGAACAAACCTATTTTTAATACACAGTATGTTAAAATTATTTGCGTCTTGGGAACGGCCGCCGCATTAACGAGCCTGGCCCCAGAACAGGTTACAGCGTACCACCGTAACCTTTGTCACTGCCACCCACAGGATGGGTATGGGGTACATAATAAATGAACTAAACATGAAAATGATAGGCAGTAAAGGAGACAATAAGAGAGGAGGGAGCAAGCAACCATGTTGACACTTTAACATGACATCATGATGACTACTGCAGGAGGGTCGTGGAGACATCTGCCAGCGCATGAGCCAGTACGGGCACGGACGGGGCACAGACCAGGGCGGCTGTTGCCAATACTCGTGCGTGCCCGCCCGCTACTGCTACGTCCTCACCAGAGACCTCACCCCAGACCAAGCCGTCCTTCTAGAGCCGATGGGTACAGTCACTAGTCATACTTAGTGTCCGTAATCTCCTCCAGTACTTGTCAATTAACTAAAATATTCAGGCGATGAATTACAATAACGTGGCTAAAGAATGATGACCAGACCACACACTAGAAGGTGAAGGCACGACAACGTTTCGGTCCGTCCTGGACCATTCTCACAATCGACTTGAGAATGGTCCAGGACGGACCGAAACGTCATCGTCCCTTCACCTTCTAGTGTGTGGTCTGGTCATCAACTAAAATGTTCACTCATTTCACCACCTAAACTACCACATAAATGCAGCCTTTCTTCTCACGGAAAAAGGCCATGTTACCTCTCTACTCATCGTTTTAATCATTAAATTAGTTTATACTTGTATTAAAAAAAATTCCGGCGTCACATATAATTTCATGTGGCTATTATTTTATATACAAGCAATTATTTACTTTTATGATTATATAATATGCATATAAGTCTCTTACCGTGTACACTGTGGGCGGGTCAACCATACTTACACCGTGTGTATTGTGGGCGGGTCAACCATACTTACACCGTGTGTATTGTGGGCGGGTCAACCATACTTACACCGTGTACACTGTGGGCGGGTCAACCATACTTACACCGTGTACACTGTGGGCGGGTCAACCATACTTACACCGAGTACACTGTGGGCGGGTCAACCATACTTACACCGTGTACACTGTGGGCGGGACAACCATACTTACACCGTGTACACTGTGGGCGGGACAGCCATACTTACACCGTGTACACTGTGGGCGGGTCAACCATACTTACACCGTGTACACTGTGGGCGGGACAACCATACTTACACCGTGTACACTGTGGGCGGGATAACCATACTTACACCGTGTACACTGTGGGCGGGTCAACCATACTTACACCGTGTACACTGTGGGCGGGACAACCATACTTACACCGTGTGTATTGTGGGCGGGTCAACCATACTTACACCGTGTACACTGTGGGCAGGTCAACCATACTTACACCGTGTACACTGTGGGCGGGTCAACCATACTTACACCGTGTACACTGTGGGCGGGTCAACCATACTTACACCGTGTACACTGTGGGCGGGTCAACCATACTTACACCGTGTACACTGTGGGCGGGTCAACCATACTTACACCGTGTACACTGTGGGCGAGTCAACCATACTTACACCGTGTACACTGTGGGCGGGTCAACCATACTTACACCGTGTACACTGTGGGCAGGTCAACCATACTTACACCGTGTACACTGTGGGCGGGTCAACCATACTTATGGTAACTTATACACAACCCTTAACACTTTCCGACTATTCCAACTGATGACTTACAATAAGGTCACAAATAGCAATGTTTCATATCTTGTTCCACACGTTTCTCGCATTTTAAATCACAGTTTATTCATTTTTGTATTAAATCTAAACTACAATATCAATCCAATATGTCGAGGTCTGTCGCGAATTTTCACTTTCATAGCCATATTTATAATGGCAGTTAATGCTTTAGTTAATGTTTTTATGTCTCGATTGGTGCCAGGATAGGCTACCCTTTCAAAGTGGGCGAGATGAATAGACACGGGAGAATATATATATTGACATTTTAGCATGTTATAAGTACCAGTTTTATTTGTTTGTAATTTATGAAACTAGACATAACTAACCTCTCCATAAGCCTACTGTCAAATGACATGAAATAAGAGTGTTGTGATGGACAGGTGTGGCGCATAATGCTGTAGAGAGCATCAGTGTGGCAGGAGAGGACGTGCTGGTACTAGGCTGTGGACCCGTCGGTCTCCTGGTCGTCGCTGTCGCCAAGGCTCTAGGTACCTTCCTAGATAATTTGTACATATGTTTATATTCCCCAGTCATATTTTTATACTTATATTCAAGGAATACCAGTTTATCATCGGTACAAGCACAATGGGAGTCCATACAGTTGAGGAACCTAGTGACTTGTGGGCTCTCAGAGGTCTGAATTGCCAGTCAACCATAACATTTAACGTACGATTTAATTTTTTCTATAATTTTACAGCGTATTATAAAATTCTGAGGGTATATTTAAATTGGGGTTTATTTTCGTTAGGGTTTCTGTATTCAGCTGGGAAAATATATATGCTCCGGATGCGTCTCTAGTTCTAATAACGTCTGTGTATTCTAATTCCATACTTGAGCCTAACATCAATCGCAGAGACTATTATTTATATGTGAACTAACTTTGCTCAAGTACCTTAAATAAGGTTGTTATCTATGGTCACTATGTGATGGAGTGGGAAAAGATACGTGAATTCAGAGACAATTCTATACCAAATGTTCCAGATGTGTAAATATTTAATTCAAAATGATCTGCTACGGGAAATCTTTGCCAAATATCCCCAGTTTGCTAACTGTAGGTAGTAACTAAGTGATTGTAACCTATTCACCGCTGCTCACTGGATAGGGGGGGGGGGATGGAAGTTGCACGATAAACATCAATTGTGACACTAGCTCTCCACATATGTAAGTTGCTTAATTTAGAAACTGTACTTATGGACGGTCAGGAGTACATTGTTGATATGACGACGTGCATTGAAATTTGTAACTAGCTCATCAAGACTAAACGAAATGTGGGGTTCAGTCCCTGAGCCCATTATATGCCTCTGTAACCCTTTTCCACTACCGCCCACAAGATTGGTATGGGGTGCATAATAATTGAACTTATGCCTGTGGCCTGCAGGAGCTCGTGCTGTGTACGGGGTGGACGTGGCTCAGGACAGACTCGATCTGGCCATTAAGATGGGAGCTACGACCGTCATCAATGGATCCAAGGTAAGGTGACTTATAACATCACGTGCAGAATTAATGTCATGGGATTAGTTCTTTCTTTTACTAGTTTACTATGAATACCACATGAGCTTACGCATCCCATGGACAGTGACAAAGATTTTATCCACAAAATGGGTTCCAAACCGATCCACATTGATACAAAAGTGGGGGGGGGGGGGAGTAAACTAGTTGCAAATGGTTTATATTTGTGTATCCAGCTCCCACACGCCCATCTACGAGGCTGCGGTGGAAGGCCAAGGAACATCATGGCTCTACCCACATGTCACGGACTAAGGGCACTACTGGCGAAGATTTTTAGTCGTGTGGTTTTGAATTAAAGATTTATATATTTCTTTAACATTAGTGCTAGATTTACCTTGATTTTTTTTCACATTCAGTTACATATATAGTGATGTAGATTATAATTAAGTTCCTTTGTAGACACAGTTTACATTTGGTCAGCTAACAAGAGATAAAAACATTGAAGCACCATGGAATAATTTCACAAAAGATCATAACTCAAACCAAAATGTGTCCGGGAGGAGCAGAAAATGGAAAATGCCAGACGAGTGACAAAGGTTCCAAAAGGAGCTTTAACTATACCTCTGGAAGAGGTATAGTTAAAGTTCTCTATATATAGAAGTATATAGTTCTCTTCAAGAACTACAGCTTATGAGACGTGCAAGAGGGCGGTTGATATAGCCACCCACGCAGGAATTTAAATAGTAAAAACCAGTTGTATGAAGAAGAAAAACTTGCGCATAACACAGAGAAAGTTCCCAAGTACTTTTATGCATATACAGGAAAAACATCCAAGACGTCACAGTAGGACCTGTGATGAAGCAAATTTGACCTCGCCTATGTATTGCCTTCTTCCTCCGAATACATTCTTATACCTCCATCGTCTAACGGTTTAAACCCTGGCAAACCCCACCAACTGCAGATTCCTGAATTTACCTGAAGGCCACCATCTCTATTGGCATTGAAGAGGACAGGAAGCTAGGAAGGTGGCCCTCGGGTAAATACTCACTTTTTAACAATACAGTATTCTTAATTTCCGCCCTTAGAGAACAAACCCTAGACCCTGTCTCGAGCACAGAAGGCCCTGGTCAAATACCTAACCTGTGAAGCCCCAACAATTAAAACTTTCATACTTCGTTTTTTGTCATCTTACCTTTCGAGCGAGCTGCACAAGATCCTGCAGGCTACGAGGTATCTTCAAAGCAAAGTGCACAGGTCTTCATTAATGGTGTGACAAGCCTCGCACAGTCTTCCCAAAATCCTTGGAAATACTCCCAAGATGAGAACTTCCTAAGGCTACCTTCTTTCTTAGCTTCCTCCTGTGGACACACATGGGATGCTTCTCTTCGTACAAAGGCCCACCTCTACCATCAGAGCATGTACATATAGCTCCATTAAGTGTCCCGTCATCGATCATAACACTTTCTATTACGAAGCAATCGAAAACAATTTGTTTACACTGTTCAAACAAGCGCGAACACTCGTGACGAATGCTCCTGACCTACTGCTGGCGGTCGTCCTCCCCAGATGCATTCATCAATTTTAACATACTGTGTATTACAAATTGGTTTGTTCTCGTATATAAATTAATATTCTCGTATATAATTTTTTAATTATCAGGGGAAATCGCCAAGCCATTACGACTTTATAGACCTTGGAAAGGGTCAGGATATTCTCGTATGTAAAATAACCGCTGCATTACGTAGGAATGCGGAGGAATTTCTGATGGAGGAGAAGACAATTGCACAGCGCGATCCGCAGCGCAGCGTGCGGAGCGCCGCGGGGGGACTATATAAGTAGAGAGGAAGGGACATGCGTTCTATCTTGCTCCAGCCTCGCTCAGCTCCACAAGTCAAAGGAAAAAAATATATTAGCATATTGTGTATATATAGGCATAGGTTAGGTTAGGTGTTTAGGTTCTGTTGGCGATTATTTGTATTTGTAGTACGTGGGTGAAGCATTTATAGCTTTGTGATTCGAACAAAATTCGTCAGTGAAGCACTTGTTCCGAATATGTTCGAACGTCAGCAGTTGTGAGTCGTGTGTAAACCGCTTTTCATTCATAAACAGGGGGTTTGGCGGGTGCATGGAATCACTTTTGGATCTTTGTTTGGAGGACGGGCTGCAACCCGTCCTCGACTCAAGTCCATTACATCCAGCGGTCAACCCCACAGACGCATTCATAAATTTAAACATGCTGTTCATTCAAAACGGGAATTTTCTCAAGTATAAATTTATATTATAATATATTAGCATATTGTGTATATATAGGCATAGGTTAGGTTAGGTTAGGTGTTTAGGTTCTGTTGGCGATTATTTGTATTTGTAGTACGTGGGTGAAGCATTTATAGCTTTGTGATTCGAACAAAATTCGTCAGTGAAGCACTTGTTCCGAATATGTTCGAACGTCAGCAGTTGTGAGTCGTGTGTAAACCGCTTTTCATTCATAAACAGGGGGTTTGGCGGGTGCATGGAATCACTTTTGGATCTTTGTTTGGAGGACGGGCTGATAACTGCAGCCCATCCTCCAAAGACCCAAAATGATTCCATGCCAGCCCGTCCTCCAAACAAAGATCCAAAAGTGATTCCATGCACCCGCCAAACCCCCTGTTTATGAATGAAAAGCGGTTTACACACGACTCACAACTGCTGACGTTCGAACATATTCGGAACAAGTGCTTCACTGACGAATTTTGTTCGAATCACAAAGCTATAAATGCTTCACCCACGTACTACAAATACAAATAATCGCCAACAGAACCTAAACACCTAACCTAACCTAACCTATGCCTATATATACACAATATGCTAATATATTATAATATAAATTTATACTTGAGAAAATTCCCGTTTTGAATGAACAGCATGTTTAAATTTATGAATGCGTCTGTGGGGTTGACCGCTGGATGTAATGGACTTGAGTCGAGGACGGGTTGCTCTGAGAGTCTGAGTACGTCGAGGCAAGGCGAAACAAACGACTGTTTGAAGCAAATTATGGATCTATAAACAAACAAGTCGTCACGGGTTATCATAACCCTGATGCCTTTGGTCTCCACTATATGATGGGCCAGGTCACAGAGGACTCGGGACCCCCTGTCCTCTCGAAAAGTATATAGCATTTTGGCGTATAAATCACCAACGGCTGAAATATGATGTACTATAAATCATTGAAATTGACGGGCTGCCCTATTTCTCATTCGTGGGTCTACAGTTAGGTTCGGGCAATTTAGTATATAATTTTTCTGACGTTGTGATAACTCGAGCTATACAAGCAGTCAGTATTGGACCCATCTAAAAACCACGGGGAAGAAAAGGATCCCCCGGCCTACTCTTCAGTATAGTTCCCCGAGCTTAATTTACTTCTAATGACACCTCAACAGAGAAGAATGGCTTTTCAAACAGATAAGTAATAACACGAAAGGTTACCTGTGGGAGAGGAGGGCAGGAGAGAGCCAGGGAGGCCGTAGAGAGAGCCATGTGGTGCCACGTGTGGAAGGTCGTACTGGGACATCCGACACTGCGGACAAACATCTCGTTTTCTATGCCTAGGTTGGTTATAGTGTCTTGGGTTCGCATATTTTATTACCCCGTATTTTGTCTATTGTGGCAACCCAAGAGGCTGAACACACAAGGCCTCGACCTGAAGAACCACAAGAGTGTCGCACTAAGAACGACACAGTAGCCACAAGACAAGGGGGTAGTGTAGTATAGTCCCGTGGAACTATTTATCATGAACAGTTTGTCGAGTATCTACAACTGCCCGATGAATACTTTAGTTTGATTAGCTAGTTTTGAACCAATTTATTTAACAATATTCCAACCCAAAACCATATTTTTTTGTGTAATACAGGAAGACATAACAGCAGTAGTGATGCAAGTGAGTGGGAACAATGGTGTGGGGCGCATTGTGGAGGCTAGTGGTGCCGCCTCGCTCCTCAACCAGTCCTTTTCCTGGCTACGTAAGGTCAGTCTTAAGTCCTACATCGTTCTTTTCTTAAAATTTTACCCCACTACATCTCCCTTGCCATTTCAATATTTACATATAAGCCGTCTGATTAAATGGTTTTGAATAATTGGAATGTATTCAGTAATCTATATTCTGCACGTTTGAATGGCATTGTTTTTTTTTTAACAAGCCTAGGTATACACAGCAATGTGTATACCTAAGCTTAGGTATACACAGCAATGTGATGCTACCCAATTTTGTATGAAAGATTACAGGGCTCAGCTCACTTACAGGATTAGTCATACATAGAATCAGGAGAGAACATGATTGAGAGTCTATCTTTTAGCCTGCACTAGCAAACTTTGGGTACAGCACAAGAATATCTTCCAATATTTGTAGGTGTATGAAATTGATACAAAGCTCAAAATACCTCATACCATTTGATCTAAAATCATTAATAACTGGGCAATCACAGAGATAGTGTTGGAGACTATGTCCCAGCTCTTGTTCACATAGTTTACAACTGGAATGTTCACCATCGGGAGATTCATTACCTGTAGCCATCTGCCATAGATATCGACATCCCAGCCTAATTCTGGTTATTACAGTATCACTGTCTAGTGGATGTTTTGTGCTGCCCGTACATATAGTTCTTGGTTCTAAACATGTCATAGCTCTTTATACTCGCGCTTTCTGACCTTTGAGTGTCGGTGACTACTGTTCTGTCATCCCCAATTTCCTGAACTAGTGCAGTTTTTACAACAGATTGAATGCCTAGATCTAACTTAATTTCAGGCAAGTGCTTGAAGAGCTGACCTTGAATCACAGAAAATTACTCCTGCAGTATTTGTCCAAGCATTAGTGGTAAAGTTGCAGTGCAGCTAATTCTGTGTGTGTGGAGCTAAGATGTGCGATTCTCCCGTAGGGTGGACAAATGGCGCTGATTGGACTGCCCAAGGCGCCCCTCCATGTTGAGAATGTCCTCACCGACCTTGTCTTCAAATCTCTCACTCTCAAGACCATCCATGGCCGAAGGTATCTCCATATTCTTTTCACATTTTCAACCATTTATGGCAATGAAAGTACATATTATGCCTCATCTCTATTCGTTTTATTCATGCATATTATCCCAAGCATAAAGTTTGTGAAATACAATACAGTACTTGCAATTTTAGTTACTATATCACATAATGCACGTAGTAATAAAAAACTTACATGAAGAACAAAGTCAATATTATTTAAAGCATCACTTTAACCTCTTTGTTGGTGGCAGGATCTTCCACACATGGAAGGAGTGTGAACAGCTGCTGGCTGACAGTTTGGTTGATGTGTCTCCCATCATCTCCCACCAGCTACCTATGACACAGTTCCTCGAAGCCTTCAACTTACTTACGACAGGTGGGGCCTGCAAGATTATCCTCGACCCCCAGAACTGACTTCTATGCCATCTACAGGAATGTGACTACTCTCTGCTATTATTTGTCCCTTGCATGTATTCACATTCTTTCCACCCTCATTAATACAGCTTTGCTACTATGATACTCCAATTTTTAACAAAGTGAAAATTGGAAATATAAAAATATAAATCACAATTAAAATGTACTTGAAAAACACAACCCTTATTCATAATTTTCTCATGCTGCTGCTTCACTTTATTTGGTCTTATACACAAAATCATTCTCGGGCAACTTTTTTCAATCTACACAATTTGATTTTATAACTTCTGCCATTTCAATAGTGGTACTTTCTTTTCTATATACTGTCTACAAACATTCATGTAAAATCCTACTCTGATGGGCTGTGATAATATGGATGGAGAACTAAGATAACTTGTGCTAGGAGAACATTATGCAATCTTGTGCACATGCTGTAATAATTTATTTAGGGAAAATATCTGACAAGTCAGCCATGCTGCACATTTAGTCTGCACTCATTTCGTTTCACATACAATTTTGGATCTGTTCCAACCCTTCATTAAGGTTTGATTCAGGATTCACAATCTAACAGTAAACGGATCTGGCTACAATTTGCCGATGTGAGGAGGTTTATCTGACAGTTCCGGCATTGCAATTAGACTACCTATCTTAACATTCACTGCAGCTTAACCGAGGTTTGCTCAACAGGAGTAGTGTATAGTACAACAGTGGGTAACACACTCATTTCAAGAAGACTTTAGTTGAATACTGAGCAGAGTGGATCAATTGAACACCATTTCTTCACTATGCTCTTAGTGTACACCCAGCAGAAATTATGTAAAGCAATTAGCATATTATGATCTGTGGGAAATAGTATAGTATGGCTTTAGAATGAGGTGGTTAGCAAAAAAAATATATATATATACCGTATATATGTAGACAATAAAAAAAATATTATACAGTACTGAATTAACATAATATTAGTCCCTTGGGTTAATTTAGCAGTCAATGGTAAGGTAGAAGAAATAATTCTGCATAATATTACAAATTCCATATTTATTTAATTCATTGGCATTCATTAAAATCTTATAAACATTCCAGTTATAAACAATATATTTTCATAAATTTATTCTCTTTACAAAGCTAGTTAAATTAACTAAACCTCTGAACCTTGTAACTGATGCAACACTAATACTGTAGTGATGATTTAAAGCAAATAAAACGAACTAGAGCAACACACTATTCATAAAAAAGAAATCATGTTTGAACATTTTACATGTGGAAGTAGGAGAGCATTCTGAAATACAAGCGCCTTATAAGCCACCTCTATTTGCACACCTCTACCGTTTATGAGGACAAGTGACTTACTGTACCTGTAACTGTTCACTTACTGTACTCATGATTTACCAATAAATTGTCCATTAATTCACAACCATCATCAGCATTTGTTCGTTTACTCATGACTTATCAGGTAGTGTTCACTTACTCATAATTGTCATGAGTAACTGCTAACTTCCTGTAGTATAAAGACTATTCACTTTTAACACAATTTACTATGGAATGTCAAATATGACCCTCAGTGAAATTATTATATTTAAATTATGTGCAATAAAAACAGTAGCATAGATGGAGAGTATTTGTCACAAACTTTCAGGACCTTAATGCTAAAATGAAAGAAATATCAGAAATAAAGTTAGAGAAGCATATAAAACTGAAACCATTGTATAATGGTAAAGTCATGACCACAAAATTTGTTCAAAGCTGGATAAAATGTTTAAGTGAACTAATTTGTGCCACAAAGAATATAAAAGACATGAAGAACAACATTTTCTGTTTATACACAAATCAAGATAGACATTAACATTTACTTTCTAGTTACAGTATCTTAAAATTGTGTCTAAACTAACCACTTTTAAGCAATTTATAATTTTAATAAGATAAATTATGTAACAGATAAAAAGTAATTTAGACCAAAATACCTGTAAATGGCCTAATTAGATACTCGACAAAACATGTTTGCAAGGTACATATTTTATTTTCCTATATATTTTTAACCAATTAATTTTGTCAGCTTTTTGCCTTTATATATAAACAAAATTTTTTGCAATTTTTTTGTATTAATATCAACAAGAGAAAATTGTATTTAAATATTTGTCATTAAAACCCCTTAAAATATTTTTAATGATATACAATGAGACAAAATTTCTTTTGTTGACACAAAAATAGTCCGACCAGCTAGCTCTATACTATTCCAAAAGTAAGTAATTATCAAAAGAAGGCACCAAACCTACTATTCCAAAAATATTCCAAAAGCAAAAGCATAAAAAACACAAACCTAATCCATAAACATTATATTGATTTTGTAACCATTAGTCATAGAAAGTAAAAATATATAAATGTACACTTCCTTATACCTTTAAGAAGCATGTAATATGCTGGACATTGCTATAACATGAATCTAGAACAGAGGAAACAAATCAATTGCAATGTTTGTAAATTGATGCTAGAACTTGTGTAAGGTGTATAGAAAATATAAATGACAAATCTAATAATTAGCAGTACAGCATTGAAAGAGACATTTGCTGCCAAAAAGGGGATGGGTATTGGCACAAAACGAGCAGTGTTTTGGCCATTGCCACCACATGACCTTATGTATCAGGACATCTCCATCTCTCCCCCTTTCTCTTTCTTTCTCTCTCCCTCCCTCTTTTCCCCCACTCTCTCTCTCTCTCTCTCTCTCCCTCCCTCTTTTCCCCCACACTCTCTCTCCCCCCTCCTCTCTCTCTCTCTCTCTCCCCCACCCCTCTCTCCCCCCCCCCCCCTCTCTCTCTCCCCCCCCCCCCTCCCCCCCCTCTCTCTCTCTTCCTCTCTCTCTTCCCCTCTCTCTCTCTTCCCCCCTCTCTCTCTCTTCCCCCCTCTCTCTTCCCCCCTCTCTCTCTCTTCCCCCCTCTCTCTCTCTTCCCCCCTCTCTCTCTCTTCCCCCCTCTCTCTCTCTTCCCCTCTCTCTCTAAAATTACGAGATAATTGTCTAACCTTACAGTGTGGAGAAAAGTTTAATATGCAAGTAGACAACGATAAATTTTTACAGCTAAGGAGTTAAAAAAATATCAGAGGACTCTCTACTTTTCTCTTGCAACAGTAAAAACTTAATAAAACATATTGGACAACCACTAACACTGGTCTTTCCTGATTTGTCCAAGAAAATTACTGCTACATTCATACAATTCCGAAGTAGAAACAGTTCGTTAAAATGTAACAATTATAAGATCGAGTAATTACAGAGCTGCTATATTAATATATAGTTCCACATTAATTTCTGCACTACTCACAATAAAATACACCAGCTTAAAAAAGTAATTAGTTTCGAACTGAATTTATGGGTATAACATCTAAATCTGATAATGACCTATAATTTTGAGATGTGAATAATCAAGAATATGAGCAACACTACTGTTGTCATCATGATGAGATTAGTTACAAAAACTATACTGTATAACTATTCACAAAAAATTCATTATACAGTTATGAAATTTTTAGACAAAATTTATACACTTATGTTACTCACTTGTTCCCTTTTCCCAGGAAAAAACAAACGATACTAATGCACAATTTCCCTGTGCTATTTATATGAAAATTTATGCCATTAGCTACTCAAGTTAGGAGCGCATGTGGTTTACCCCTTCAGTACTAAAAAATGTTTGGCACAATTAACAACCAAACTCACCCTGGTACAAAAAGGCTTTCCTGTCACCAATCAACCCGGCCTCTCGAATTCTACATCACAATTTGACCTATAAACCCTCCGAGGCCAAAAACTGATGTACCAAAAATCATAGTAGCTGGCAAGACAGTCCAGTTTTCTATTCGTGGGTCCTCGGTTAGGTTAGTTTTGGGCAATTTAATACACAAGTTTAGTAACATTGTGAATGCTCGAGAGGATAGGCTGCATCACTAATACATTAGCCACTTTTTCTTCCTGATGAACTTGTCAAAAATGATTGCAAATAGCATTATCCTAAGATATATATCCTAAGTATTCTTAAAGTGGCATCTTATTATAATTTGAAAACATTAAATAAAACATCTGCTTCAATGACACTTATCAGAATGTAAAGATCAAGTAACATTAAATGTAACACAGCCACATTAAATGTAACACAAAATGTAACATTGTGTGTAACACAGCCTTATGTGTGTGCATTCAACATAGCATCAACAAAACACAGACCAAAAAGACTTCACACAGCGGTACATGATGAATACGGTATAGATCTGCTTCTCTCTCTTTGAGCATGCCAACATGTACATTGATCTGTTACATTTTTGGTTTTAAGATATTATACATAATGGATAAGGATACCATAATGAACATTCCTTATAAAGTACCGTATTTAGTAGAACCTGATCACTTATAAAATGACAAATTTATTTCACTGTACTAGCTGATGGTATTCAAAAGTTATAATGTTATCGAGCATAAAAGCAAAACAAAGACATTGCCACATCACTAACCTTTTGTAACACAGCTCCAGAAATTGTAATGTTTAAAATATTGATATACCATTTTCATGTGAGATTCTATAAATAATACATTGTTCAAAATAAATCATCAGCCACATTCACAATACTATGCCATATGTTGTCCAACTATCTAATATCAATAGAGCTTTCATAAAAATTTTGACAATTACAAATTATAGTATGGTGTAGTCTAGATATTTCAGTATATTCTTAATAGCTACTGAAGTTTTCTGCAAAAGATGGCAAGAAATTTTGTGCACATTCAACATCTAATGTACTTATCAGACCAAATTCAAGGTAAATATTTGCTCAATATTTCTTGTTAGCACTTAAAAATAGGAACCAACTGAGCTAATTAAAAAAAAAAATCAGAGCATGCACACACAATAATAATACATAGCATTGATGCACAGAACTATATTCACATCTTTTGGAGAATTATATAACAAAGGGAAAATATATATTAAATCATTGTTCAACCTATTTTCAGTCATGTTAAACCTAAATATTTAAAAACACAAAATATTGGAGATGCTTTACTAGCAAAATTACTAGTATCAATTATTTCCAATGCAAAACAGGGAAACAACTTGTTTAACTTAGAATGGGAAACAAATTTACCTCTCGTCTGAGCTTGGTCAGTCACACACGAACCATCCCACCTGAGTCAGTCATACAATGGTTGTCACCATACATGATAACCTTACAATGTTGTGATGTGATGAACTAAACATACAAGAAGCAATAACATAAATGTATGTGTAAATGTCACGTCTCAGAACTGAAGGCACCATACATGGGAATAAACAATATTTAACTATCAAAATCTGCCTCTTCTCTTATGTCATGACATTACTAACCTTAAACTGAGCATAATTTTACACACAGCTCTCAACAAATTACCCATAACTTAGAGCAGTAAAGATGATTAGACTTTATTTAAAAAAATTTAAAACTAACAAATATTTTGATTCAAGAGAAATTTGAGTATGCTTCATTTTTTATTTTGTTTTGTTTATAACCACCAGTAATTTTGCATTAAAGGTAATTCTGGTGGTCGTATACAGTATATACAATATAAAAACTGCAGTAAACAAAACAGCCAACTAATACATAATGACAAAACTGAATAAAAAACATTGTATGGGAGGGAATGTGCTTTTCTAAAAAGAAAACATGATTAAAACTTAAGCCACAGCACTTGACCATATTGAAAGGTCTCGGCACATCGCAGTACATCTCTCGTGTGTTTTCTACTCCCAATGCAACAATCAATTAACAAACAATACTGTATATCAGAATTTATAAAACATAAAATGGTAATTTTTCACAAACTGTAGCAAAGTCATCATACTTTGCAAGGCAAACTCCAAAAATTTACATCAAATGTTTCATCAATTCCATATACTGTACTGTGGTAGTTTGTTCCATAAGGGGAGCAAAACAAAAAACAGCATGAACAGATAAATCACACTAACATGATGAGTCAATTACACTAACATGATTTCTCAATGAGAAACTCAGTAGGAGCCATGATGAGAAAATGTTTTTTTCCTACAACATAGCATTTCCTGCATGTCTAACTGCCATGGACACAATAATATTGAACTGTCAATTTATAAGTTTTTTTGACAACATATTCTAATTTCTTTTAAATGTCACGAATAAAGCAAGCACACACACACGCAAGCTAACATACCGAGCTTGTGAAACTAAAGCTTCAAGGAATTTGCATTATATACCTTGATAAATTGATTATAAAGATCCATAACAGGAAATTAACAAGAGCATGAATTTTGATTTACTTTAAAATGAAATGAAATATTAATTTCCATTTAACAACTGCAGTCTTATCCACACCAATATTTCGATCCAATCCACCAATATTTCCAATATTTCGCACCAAAATTTGTTTTCATTCTTCATTTGCATCACGTTTGTCTGCTTGATACCCAGTAACCTAACCTAACAATATTAATGATTTTTATTCAAATGCATGCAAGATTTTACCCACTCCAATAGTGAGAGGCAAACCATAATATTGTGTTTCAAACTTGAATTTTGAATTGCAGATAAAATTATTTGCAAGAATATACAGTATAAATTTCATAATATAGTAATAGAGTTCTAATACACTAAGGCATGAAGATCAATATACTGTTCAGTACATGCTTCATAATTATATAGTACTGTATATGTAAAATATTAAGTCCTCCACTCACCTCAGACTCATAAGAATGGGGTTTAAGAATAATCATTCCATACATCTCTTTACAGTAAGATTCTCATGTGATGAACAATTCCAAGGTCTAGCATATCTTTCAACAAGATTGATTTCCCTAAATTTAAGAGATATAATGACATTAGGGCTTAATTTATAAGGCAGAACTCTTCACATGATAATATAATCCCAATATGTACACTTCTTATAAAGATTCCAGTTATCCCAAGTTAATAAACCAGCTGACCCATATACACAAAATATACAAATCACATCGTATAATCATGCTCAGAAAATAAATATAAGAGAAACTAAAAAGTATGTGGGAGGTATGACACATGCACAAGGAAATAGATATCTGCATTCCTTGAACAGTTCAGTACTCGGTATTGACAACACATTACTTGATACTGTACCAGCAGCCTGCTTCTGTGAAGCACTTAAATGATAGCACAAAGCTACTGATGTCGAAGAAACCCAGGAAAGATTACAAAATCTTACCAGTACCAGTCAATTAAACCCCTTACAGCAGCTATTAGCAGTATGTTGCCAATTTCGTCGAGGAGCACCAGTATTGTCATGAGCTTCCAACCAAGAGAAAATATATTCGACATTGTCACCTGCCACCTTGAGCTGATAGAAAGTGAAAGCATTGCCTTAGGTTCGAAGAACATCAGCGGGAAGAACTTTATTGCCCTGTCTTGGGCTGACCAGCTACTGGTGATGGAACACTTGGTACCTCACCCAATATAGGGATCTGAAACTGTGGATGTTGACCTTGTACAACCTGTCCCTGACCAGGTTGACCTTGTACAGCCTGTCCCTGACCAGGTTGACCTTGTACAACCTGTCCCTGACCAGGTTGACCTTGTACAACCTGTCCCTGACCAAGTTGACCTTGTACAGCTTGTCCCTGACCAGGCTGACCTTGTACAACCTGTCCCTGACCAGGTTGACCTTGTACAACCTGTCCCTGACCAAGTTGACCTTGTACAGCCTGTCCCTGACCAGGCTGACCTTGTACAACCTGTCCCTGACCCGGTTGACCTTGTACAGCCTGTCCCAGACCCGGTTGACCTTGTACAGCTTGTCCCTGACCAGGTTGACCCTGTACAGCTTGTCCCTGACCAGGCTGACCTTGTACAGCCTGTCCAGGGCCACGTTGACCTTGCACAACCTGTCCTGGTCCAGGCTGAATGTTTACAATCTGTCCTTGGGCAGCCTGACCTTGTATATTTCCTTGAACTGGTTGACCCTGTGCAACTTGTCCTAAGGCTGGATGACCTTGTGCAGCCTGTCCTTGGATGGGATGACCAGATTGAGGTTGTCCTGGGCCATGCTAAAAAATAAAGTACATTAAGCCTACATTCATAAACCTTTCAATAAACTTGTAGTAATAATAAGGAAAAATTAATTATTCCGAGTCTTTGAACTGGAGCAAAACAGTGTCAAAGATATTCAATGTAAAAGATTGAAAACCTTGCACAAGTTTGTCGCTCATTTTATCAAATGTATTTTACTCTTGTATATTTTTCCTTGCAATTCAGTTATTGTTCACTGCCTTCACTGATCTGGTTTACTGCAAGGCCTCTTACACTTGTTGACACCACAGCTCCTCACATTATTATTCTCTACCATCTTCTTATCTATCATACTCCACTACTTTTTTACTTATTTTCCCAATTTATCAATAAAAGATGTGCTTCCCAATTATTAATTCTCCTTATTTACACTCACCTTGTACACTTCCCTATTACTCCTTCACCACTTACCAGTACCATATGCACTTCCCAATTGTGCATCCTTCGTATTTTGCTTATCATGCATTTCCCCTATTACTAATTCTCCTCCTATAATAATATCATATGCACTTCCCTATTACTTAATCCTCACTATTTACCACCTCGCCTCTTGGTAAGCAATTACAGTATATATTTCCTACACATTATTAATTATATATTTTTAGTTCTATTAAAAATACATGACGTTTTCTTTCATTTGTAAACGTTAAATACAGTTGAATCTCAATACAGTGAACCTTGATTTGGAGAATTTCGTGATAGAACACACACACTTTCCATGCCAGTAACTCACCCAATTTGATGAACAAAAGTTCACTGAAGCAGATAATGTATGGATTTGCTTGGGATATTAGGCTGTATTTTTGCTGATAAAAAAAACAAACAATTTGCTAAACATAAACACAGACTGTGACAAATTCTGTACATCTTTGTAGACCCAACGACCAGATCAGAACACTGACCAGCTACATCACTAGCTACTGGTGGCGGTGCATAAGGTATCCAACCTACCAGGGGCCTCATAGCCTAGTGGATAGCGCGCAGGACTCGTAATTCTGTGGCGCGGGTTCGATTCCCGCATGAGGCAGAAACAAATGGGCAAAAGTTTATTTCACCCTGAATGCCCCTGTTACCTAGCAGTAAATAGGTACCTGGGAGTTAGTCAGCTGTCACGGGCTGCTTCCTGGGGGTGGAGGCCTGGTCGAGGACCGGGCCGCGGGGACACTAAAGCCCCGAAATCATCTCAAGATAACCTCAAGATAACCTAACCACAGGAGGGTAACTATGGATGTTGACCTTGTACAATCTGCCTTGGGATAATCTGACCTTGTAATTACCTAAGTATAGTTACAGGATGAGAGCTATGCTTGCGGTGTCTGGTCTTTCCAGCACTCTTTCTCAAATAACACTTTGAATCTACTGACGATTCTGGTTTCCACCACCTTCTCAATGAACTTGTTCCAACCGTTTACCACTCTACCACCCTGTCCTGAGCTACGCTGACCTTGCACAACCTCTCCTTGGCCAGGCTCATCTTGTGCAACAGTTGTGTGTTTCATGAGCTGAATGAAATGACTATGTATTTTTTTGTGTGTGTTTGTATCCTGTATAGCACAAAATGGTTCTACTTAGCAATAATAATAATAATAATAATAATAATACTGTAATAGAGAAAATCCGTAGGAGCCACAATGAGGGTTCAAACTTTTGTGGTGGGTGTTACCATGCACACGCTCTTAGCAACTAGACCACAACATGGTATAAGGATTGCAACCTGGAGTTCTACTGAACACACTAGGATTTCCCAAGGCTTCTACTGAAGCCAGAACAGAATTTTCACACAATCCCCCTATGCACTCTGGCTCTGTCACCTTTTCCGGCTGTTGAACTGTTCCGGCTTCAGAAGAAGCCTCGGGAAATCCTTGTGTTCAGTAGAACTCCAGGTTGCAATCCCTATACCATGTCGTAGTCTAGTTGCTGAGAGTGTGTGCATGAGAACACCCACCTCCATAGGTTTGAACCCTCATCACGGCTCCTACGGATTTTCTCGTTGATGCAGTCACATTAGTGTGATTATTCTCTGTAATAATAATATTTATAAAATAAATATTATTAACATTTTCTACAAGTCCCCTAATCCACGCAACATTTCTGGAAAGCAAAGTGTTCTGGGTAATCTATGGATGTGAGTGCATTATCCAGCAGCTCCAGAATACCATCTCATTGTTTTAGTATTTTTTTCAGCAACAACATCCTTGAAATCCTGCCCTAGGTAAAATATTGATCGATAGTGCATTCTTGGACACAAATCAACAAGTGACTAGCCTGAATGTAGAGTCCTGGACAGACCCCATCTATCTTGAGGTTATCTCGAGACGATTTCAGGGCTTTAGTGTCCCCGCGGCCCAGTCCTCGACCAGGCCTCCATCCCCAGGAAGCAGCCTGTGACAGCTGACTAACACCCAGGTACCTATTTTACTGCTAGGTAACAGGAGCATAGGGTGAAAGAAACTCTGCCCATTGTTTCTTGCCGGCGCCCGGGATCGAACCTGGGACCACAGGATCACAAGTCCAGCGTGCTGTCCGCTCCGCCGACCGACTCCCCATTGGTAAGGTAAAGGTACATTTACGGTGGGAGTTTGACAAAGACAGTCTTGCAATAATTTGAGGGTTAAACTAACCCTTTTCAATGTCACTTCTATCACACACTATTGTTATTTGTTCTTTTAAACCTTATCTATAAGTTTAAAGACACGGTTTAAAAGAACCTGTGCCCACTCCACATGCAAATCCACAACATTCTGATGACTGTTGCCCACATGTTAAAATTACTGTACATACAAACCACTTACTAATAAAGGAGAGCATTAAACAAGGAAACATTCCCATTGCCAACTAAATTTACTTTAATATCACAGCCCATTCTCCTGTTTAGGTAGTATTTATAGTAATAATGAGGACCATAGTACAGATAGATAGATAGATATACACACACACACAGAACAATGAAATTAGAACGTAAAATTGGCACTATTGAGCTGGACAAACTGGAAAATTATATATTTCTTGTGTTGCTTTGACAAACTAAACTAACCTAACCTAACCTTCCTAGGCCTAATACATGATATCAGAGGCCTAATACAGTACAGGGGTACCCCAGTTTACGAATTTAATCCGTTCCTAAAGACAGTTCGTAACCCGAAAATTCGTAAACCGAAGCGAATTTCCCCATTAGAAATAATGGGAAATGAATTAATTTTGGGGGAAGTCAGGACCGGATTAACTTCAAAGTAAATTTTATACCTAATTCACCCAAATCTTCACTACAAAAGTATGTTCCAGTTATTATTTACCCTTACTGATGACTCCTGTTGGTGTATGGAAGATGGTGAGGAGTGGAGAGGTGTTATTTATTTATTTATTTATATATATACAAGAAGGTACATTGGGATTGTGAGGATACATAGCATAGTAATTACATTCTTGTAAAGCCACTAGAACGCGCAGCGTTTCGGGCAGGTCCTTAATCTAAGAAACTTATAAGTAGGTAAATACTTGCCTAATATCTTGCCTTTAAATACTAAATACCCCCTTACTGTTTGGAAGGGGGAGTCCCTTTCCATTATAGCATCAGGCAGTGATGACTTCTCTGGGGTGCACTCTCTGGCACGTTTTGCCTGCATACCACTAGGACCTGCTTCTGGCTCACTGCTTGATTTTCTCACTAGAAATTGTTCCATTGAAGATTGTTTTTCTCTTCTTTGTAACACTTGTCTGTAGTGAGACTTCACATTGTCATTATTAAGATCAATGCAACGGCCTGCTACAGCTTTATCTGGGCGATTCTTTTCAGCACAACTGTGCAGTTCTTCCCATACTGCATGCATTTTCTTAATTAATGAGGAAGGGATATCCTCTACTGCCTCCTCCTCCTCCTCCTCCTCCCCTGAAGATTTGTTGTACTGCTTGGCTAGTTCAACAACACAAGTACCATTTTCATGTTTACGAATGATCTCTTGTTTTACCTCTATGGTCATTCTCACATGCGTTTTCTTGCCTTGAACCTTACCACTGGCTTTCTTAGGACCCATGGCGAGATATATAATAAAAAAAAATTATGTTCAAATAGCCCCCCAAAAAAAAAATGTAAATCCTTGCAAAAAATTCAGGCGAGACAGTCACTAGGCGGGAGGCACTGGTAAACTGAGGTGCGATCGCCGTGCCACCATGCGCTAGGTCAGCCATATACGTATCAACAAATTCGTTTCCCAAGGTAAAGTTCATAACCCGATTCAAATTTTCCGAAGAAATCGGGCTTGTAACCCGAAAAGTTCGTAAAGAGGGGCATTCGTAAGCCGAGGTACCACTGTACATGTGTGCGCTATACTAGGCCTAGAAATATGTTTGCTTTTTATTTTTTATTTTTTTAAGACTTCCTTACTAGTCAGTCTACTACTCACTAAAAACTAAGTACCCTGTACATACGAATTCTTAACCATTGACGATCATCACAATAGATAATATCTAAACAGGAGGATCCGTTGTAATATCAACTAAGTGCATAAACGTCCAGCAAACTGTGCATCAATGAAACAAAATTACAAACCTGGTACGGTGCCCCTTGCGGGTAGTACTGCACTTGCTGGGGAACAGCCTGGTAGCCTTGGGGAACAGCCTGATAGCCCTGGGGAACAGCCTGATAGCCTTGGGGAACAGCCTGGTATCCCTGAGGAACAGCCTGATAGCCCTGTGGAACAGCCTGGTATCCCTGGGGAATAGCATTGGGGTGAGCTTGTGGATGCTGCTCATGCTGAGATACAGCATTTGAGAGATGCATTCCCTGAGAAGCAGCAGCAGCAGCAGCAGCAGCAGCGTGTGGTCCAGGGTAGGGCTCACCATGATACAAGGCTGGCTGGGCTGGAGGCATCCCATAGTAGCCGGGAGGGGGTGGGATCTACAGGGCGGAGAAACATTGCACACATGCTGCTGTGTCAAAGCCTACATCATATCCTCCACACCATCTCCCAGAATGAGGTTACGATGCAACACACCCTTCCGTGGTATTTTTAATCCAAACCTTTCGTGGCATTTTCAAGGTGGCCTAAACGGAAGAGCCACAATAATTCACAACTTAGCAATATAAAGCACTGGCATGTGAAGTATTGACAGTCTCATGGACAGTACAGAATATAATGAATGTAAGCAATGCTCAATGCATCAAATCAAAACGGGTCATTCTACTACTAGTATAGCATACACATATCTTAAAATAAATCGTGGCCTGTATTATGTGTCAAGCAATATTTACATGCTATGAAAAGAATTTATTGCAGAGGCAGACCACAAGTCGTGGATAAATACATGGAGGAATGGCCACGACTCCACAATAAAGACAAACAAAATTTGTGGGCAGATAATGTAATGCACATTGCATTCACATCCATCAAAAATAACAAACATTACATCAGCTTTAGTACTGATCTATAAAGAAGCATAAAGTCAACAGTAGCTAATTAAGACTTATTTTAATGGAACACAAGTTAATAAAGTTGAGCCTTACTGGGGAAGTGTGGTGGTTGTACTGTACAGTCATGCATGAGTACTATCAAGCATCAATGACAAGACAATAGCTGAAAATGCTTAACAGACTTAACTGAAAATCAGCAAAACACAATAGTGCATAAAACAGTGACACGGCAGAGCGTGGTGCATTGCATTCCCTCCCCCACACAGTTCAAATTTAATAGTAGCATGATTAGGAACTGCTGCCCCCAGTAACGTGACCAAGAGCTGCTGCCCCCAGTAACGTGACCAAGAGCTGCTGCCCCCAGTAACGTGACCAAGAGCTGCTGCCCCCAGTAACGTGACCAAGAGCTGCTGCCCCCAGTAACGTGACCAAGAGCTGCTGTCCCCAGTAACGTGACCAAGAGCTACTGCCCCCAGTAACGTGACCAAGAGCTGCTGCCCCCAGTAACGTGACCAAGAGCTACTGCCCCCAGTAACGTGACCAAGAGCTGCTGCCCCCAGTAACGTGACCAAGAGCTGCTGCCCCCAGTAACGTGACCAAGAGCTACTGGCCCCAGTAACGTGACCAAGAGCTACTGCCCCCAGTAACGTGACCAAGAGCTGCTGCCCCCAGTAACGTGACCAAGAGCTGCTGCCCCCAGTAACGTGACCAAGAGCTGCTGCCCCCAGTAACGTGACCAAGAGCTGCTGCCCCCAGTAACGTGACCAAGAGCTGCTGCCCCCAGTAACGTGACCAAGAGCTGCTGCCCCCAGTAACGTGACCAAGAGCTGCTGCCCCCAGTAACGTGACCAAGAACTACTGCCCCCAGTAACGTGACCAAGAACTACTGCCCCCAGTAACGTGACCAAGAACTACTGCCCCCAGTAACGTGACCAAGAACTACTGCCCCCAGTAACGTGACCAAGAGCTGCTGCCCCCAGTAACGTGACCAAGAGCTGCTGCCCCCATTAACGTGACCAAGAGCTGCTGCCCCCAGTAACGTGACCAAGAGCTACTGCCCCCAGTAACGTGACCAAGAGCTGCTGCCCCCAGTAACGTGACCAAGAGCTGCTGCCCCCAGTAACGTGACCAAGAGCTGCTGCCCCCAGTAACGTGACCAAGAGCTGCTGCCCCCAGTAACGTGACCAAGAGCTGCTGCCCCAGTAACGTGACTACGAACTACTGCCTCATCTAACAGCCAACTTGCCACAACAGCTCACTTATGGAGATCATTTGTACTACGATAATGTGTCGAGATAAAACTCCAGGTAATGACAAAAATTACATTCGTACTGGTTCACTGTTAGCTGAGAACATAGTTAAAGGCTCTAAAATCTAAATATCTCAACAAAAACAGCAACATGATAAAAATAAGCAAAACTAAATGTATTGTTTGTATTTTCAAACAAATGTTGTTCATGCAGTATGAATGAACAACATTTAATGAAGACCTTTTGAGGTTAATAGAGTATGAAAACTCATAGTCAGATAAACAGACAATGGTGGTATCTTTTAATGTCAAGTTTGTTTGAAAATATTCACTGACAAACATAAGCACACAAAATAAAAGAAAAGAAATTAAATATTTGTCACAAATTTTTAAAATTGTACATTTGTACTTACTGCTCCAGCTTCAACCAGACGTCTAAGCTCTGCCTGACGTTCACGCTCGAATTGTTCATACTCGTTGCGAGAGTAGATCTCCTGCTCGTCTAGGCCTTGCCATCCACCATCCTGCTCAAACTCAGCTCGTTTTGTTTGCTCCACAAACTCTTGAAAGCTGGATCAAAAGATCAGGACATGCAGTTTATGTTGTGTTCTCAGTTATCTTTATTGACTAATATACTTTCTCATTACTGTGCACATGTTACATATTTACACAGAGGTGCATTGATACGTAAGTTTTAGCCAATACCACACTCTACAGTACTGATACTATAGAAATACTGACTCGTGTTGTAACTTAACATTTATTTTAGATAGAACTCAAGATATATCAATGCATTTTGTGATCTCAGGATAGGTAAATGATTACATTAAATTAGTAACACTTGGTAATTATAATAAAGTAATAATTAATATTCACAGTATAACTACTGTGCTTCAGTAGAGTTCACAAAATTAAACTACACTTCTGCACACTGATGTCGCTTGAGAGCGGCAACAATTTTTCTCTTGAATCTAGTATGAATTTTTCTCATGAATCTAATGAATCATGAATAGAAAAAATATTTCTATAAAAATCCATTTTTCATCCGATCGACTTGGGGATAGTTTCAAAATGCGCGCCGTGAAATTCCTGTTCTCCCCAATAGGCGATGACATGGCGTGGCCGACTCTCTTTCAAGGTGTACTATACAAAAAAAATCGGTGTTTGGCGCTCACGGCTAGTGATTGACGTAGTTTTTTATTTCGTGCCAGTCTAACACATCCTTGTGTGACATTTTATACTTATGTTCTTCTAGAACATTCTATTGCAAACACATTGCTACAAAAATGAAATATGTACATCGAAAATTAAGGTCAGAACAGTGAAAAGAGTATACACTTTTCAATAGAGGTCTCGCCGATGTGCCGTCGGGTGTGCGGTAACGGGTAACACTTCGGCCACTTCCCACACTCTTGCGGGTGGCCTGCGATCATGATTCTACATTTATATGCATATGTCCGCGTAGGGAATTTTATTGCGATCTCAGTGATACCAAATTTAACGCTGTAGGACAAGTGTGGAGTTGACAACCCTGAAAAGAGTAGAAACATTTCATCACTGTTTGGCGCTCACGGCTAGTGATCGACGTAGTTCTTTATTTGGTGCTGGTCTAACTCATGCTTTGGTGATATTTTATACACATGTTCTTCTAGAACATTCTCTTGCGAACACATTGCTACAAAAATGAAATACATACATCGAAAATTAAGGTCAGGACAGTGAAAAAAAGTATACACTTTTCAGTGTTGCCGCTCGATCGCCCACAACACTGCGCACACATTGGGCAAGTTTTTTTTTTTTTTGCAGAGCGCACGAAAGTGTTAAGTGGACTTCTCGGCAGTGATTACAAAGTTGCAACATTCAAATAAATAAATCTTTAGCCTCCTGGCCATTGATTTCAGGGAATCTGTCCTTTGCAATACACCCTGTGCCATGGGCTTCACAACTTTGGACAGGAAAACATTTTCAAGATACCTTGACTTGCATTGCTGATTTAAAATTTAGACTCAGTTCTGTCATCCAATTGTAAGGGTCTTTTTTTTTAGCAGCAAAAACAGTTAAAAAACCCAGCGTTAAATGTAATGAAATGCCATTTTCTGGGCGAGACCCGGAGGCTCCCCGGAGCTATCCCAGGCTGATATACTAATGTCAGACTTTGGCATCAGTCATGTGTATGGAGTTCTTAGGCCTACCGGGGACCATGGCCAGAACCCGACCCCCTCAGTCAATGCCGAATCTAAAAATGCTGCATTTATATTTATAACAAAATTCTCACCTGATGAGACTATCCTTATCAGTGTCAGACTCTTTAAAAACATGTTCACGCATCCGTTCCATTTCTTCAAAGCGTTCGTTAATATCATCTTCAGGGGCATTAGGGTCGTACATCTTGTCCAGTTCCTTCTTGAATAGAGCCTTTACTTCCATCTCATCCCAGTACCCATTACCATCCAGATCTGTTGAGTTGCTGTATGTTATCAACACTTCCAGCCTACACTCTCCAAAATTTAGAAATGGCTGAAAAATTCCCTGAATGCCCTCCTTAACAAAACCATTTAGCTTCAGCTCAATAATCAAAGTTAAAGTTATAGCTAATTCACTTCTAAGATGAGAGGAACAAGTACCCAACATGAACAGTTTAGACTGTGTGGTTTAACTGTCAATACTGTACAGGGACGCACCATGAAGATGGAAGAAAGTCTTGGGGTTAAAATCTTCAGGCTGCATATGATCTTGCTCTTCCCAAACCTGCAGCAACAATTTATTCAGTTATTATCTACTTAAATATACACTTTTCTAGTACTGTACTATAAAATACATATATACAAGACATTCTATACAGTATACTTTATATATACAGTATATTAGTAAAACATATCCATAGTATTCATCACACACATGCACACACACACACACACACACAAAATAGATGGCAGTACCCAGCTGTGCCCGGGACTCTCCTCCCCCTCTCTCCGCCCTCATATCTCTTCCCTATCCTCCCCCTTTACTCCCCCCCCCCAACCACTTCCCTTTTCTCCCCTCTCCACCTTAATGATTTGGCTTGGAAAATGTAATACTTGAGAAAATTTATTTAGTATTTGTAGCCACTTTCTCAAACTACAGTTCCAGAAAAGGAAAAGATAATCAATAGCGGCAGGGACCGTGGAATAAATATAGAAATTAGGTTTCAGGGAAAAGTACTAATATCAGAAGCTAAAACACCTTCAAGAATTTAGACAAGACAATTATATTAGAAGGATTAACTGGTCTCAAACAATAAAGAAGTCTGGAGATATAACAGTACAGTAATGAATACAAATGAGAACAAAAGATAATAGTTAAATATGGATTGATAAACCAAAAATTAAATATGGCATGTCAGTCATAGCAGCTTATTTAGCAAAGTTCAACCATGGACACTTCAAGAGAAAACTAGATAGTTTCCTTCAAGAAGTGCAGGACCAACCGGACTGTGGTGGATCCGTGGGCCTGCAGGCCACTTCAAGCAACAGCCTGTTGGACCAAACTCTCACAAGTCAAGCCTGGCCATCATGCCAGGTCATCATCTAGTAATATTAATCTTACCTCTTCCAGTTGCTGTTTTGACCCAGGGTGATGCAGTTTTGTGTGTTGTCCATGTTTCTTAATTTCTTCTTCATGTTTCAATTCAGCCTGCTTGCGGTGTTCTTCATCCATCTGACCCAACTCCTGCTGTCGTTCAAACTCCTTTTCCATTTCATACTTTTTGAACTCGGTCCGACGCTGTTCATCAACTTTTTCCAAGTCTTCTGTAGTCTGTACAAAAAACAAATTTTATTGGTATCTACAACTTATGCCTATAAAATACTGACTATAATTTCCCAGTAACTAGTACTGATAATGAAATCTCTCTGTATTAGCGCCTTTATGTATTGTACTTACCTTACATATGAATGCTACACCGTTCAAATATCATATGTATACACTCATGCATAAATAAATTAATATTATTATTGAGAAAATCAGTAGGAGCCATGTGGAGGATTCAAACCTGTGCGCTGGGTTTGAATCTAGACCCAGGCACGTTCTAGACCACTACACCACGACATGGTAAAAGCATTGGAACCTGGTATTCAACTGGTATACTCTAGGGATCCTGAGGCTTCCTCTGAAGCCTAATTAGAAATATTGACCAGACCACACACTAGAAGGTGAAGGGACGACGACGTTTCGGTCCGTCCTGGACCATTCTCAAGTCTCAATCGACTTGAGAATGGTCCAGGACGGACCGAAACGTCGTCGTCCCTTCACCTTCTAGCGTGTGGTCTGGTCAACTTACTTTAGCTACATTATTGTGTCTCATCGCCTGCTAATTAGGAATATCCTGCAACCCTAGAGGATGCAGTTGAATCTAGGTTGCAATGATTTTACCATGTTGTTGTGTAGTGGTCCAGAGTGTGCCCGAGAGCACCCAGAGAACAGGTTCAAATCCACCTCATGGCTCATACTGATTTTCTCGATGATATATCACATTATTGCAATTCTTTTATGCATTATTATTAATATGACTGGCACACAAAGGTAATATATGGTACTGTAGAACTAACACTTTTAGGTTCGTCAACTTTTGAAGAGCAATAGAAACTGAAGAAAACTTGTTGGATTAAACTGCCAGCAGCTTCCATAAGCAGAAAATTATTAGTCTTATATATCAATAGCCTATCTAAATGTAATATTTACATGCTAGCACATTACACCTGGCTCAGGCTATAGATTATGATATACAAGCTGGTGATAAGATTTCTGTGGAGGTTGCTTGCTTTAAGCTACAAAGGTTCAGTTCTGTTTGTGTTACTCTTAAGGAACCTAATTGAAAGTATCCTTTCACATCACTTCTCATCTATATTAATTCATACTTTTTCAAAGTAGTCTATAATTTCAACATCATAATGTTAATAGATACAGTACTGTATTATGTACATATTAACATTACAAATAATGCATTTTAAAATTACGGTAATAATAAATGTTACCTACACGATGTACACATCTTCATTTCCATACAAAAGGCAGTATATAACCTCTGAAACTTTTGATAACAATATTAAAGCAACTATTACAGCCTGCTACTCATTACTGAACAGAGACAGCCTCATCAATACAGGAGCTCATGTCAAACCTTGATGATGAGCTTCTTGAGATCCTCAACTTCAAATCGTGTGGGGTTCTTGTGGTCAATGTGAACAGGAATCTTCAGCAAGCTGCGATCCACACCAGTCTGCTTCTCGTGCTCCTGCAGTCAACCACACACAAAAGATAAATAAATGGTAAATATATCCCACTAGAAGAGAACAGTTTTACAGAAACCAAATATGCATTAAAGTCCCTCAGAGACAGGAAAGAAGGAGTAAGAGGCAAGAAAGCCAATGGAGTGAAGACCAGAGGGCACGAGACTAAAGAACATAGGTAAAGGTGATGTAAATAACATGAGGAAGGAGGAGGGGGGGAAGGGTTTTCTTTTTTTATTTACTTTTTTATTATTATTTTCTACCACAGACGTGGCCACACATTTACAATGCTAACCAGTATATATACATTTTCTTCTGTCCTTCATGGACAGGGTTAGAGATGTGTTAAACATATAGTTCAAGGGTTTATTGAACACTCAACCACAGAAGGTGATTATCTGAAAGGGGGATGATGCAAGAAGACAAGGGGAGAGAGAAAGAATGGGTAAAGATAGGGTAATGGACCAAGTAAGGAAGAAGGGAAGGGCAGGACTGTAAGAAGGAGTAAGAGAGGGAAGGGACGGGAGGGAGGAACGGGAAGAATGAGCTGCAAAGTCCTACCAAGTCATGAAGTCAAATTAGGGAGCAGATTTGACTCAGGAGCAAATTAATATGATCAAAGAATGATACACAGCCATGAAATAAAATATTTCCATTCCATGGGACTCTTCCAACTAATCTATTCTAGGTGATTAAATAGATATTACAATCTGTCATAACACACAAATGCACTCTACTGGTGTAATACCCTAATATCTTATAAGAACAATATAAGCACTCTTCCACATACTGTACTTTATATATCTTAATCAAAATAAGCAAGTCAACAAGCAAGGGTTAAATATAGTATCTGAAAACCATAGTCTTCAGTTGACCTAAAACAAATTCTTCAAGTAAACACTATCAACATTACCTTAACTGCCAAGTGACGGAGACGTTCAAGCTCTCGACGCTTCAGTTCATCCAGTTTAGTGCGAACATTGTGATCGACAAAGTGGAGCTCTCGGGCAATCTTGCCAGACTGAAAAATGGCAAAATAGAGACTAATAGCACAGCTGAAGTACGCAAGTACTTAAGCAAGTACACATCTTATACCGCATATCATTCCATTCTAAAGACTGTATGATACTGTATTATGTCTCATATTTCAACACCCTGCAGCCATAGCACTTTACACACACAGCAAACACTAACACAATGAGAACTAAGCAAGGAACCACCAAGATGAACTCAATTTATTTACAAATTCTTGTCATTATCTAACATACAAGTTTATCAGTGAAGACATAATTGTAGTCAATAGTATCGTATTCATCATATAGGCAGCATTAAGAGGATATGCACTAGGAGAATACTGTACGTATAATAAACATGCATGCCACATCGACACAACTCTTATGCCATAACATCTCAATGGGAGACTATTAAGATGGTCTTAATGGAATATATTTAATAACTAAAAATATATCTATTGTAAGACTAGTCCAATGAAAGAGAAACAATAAGTACAGAATTAACACATGATTAGGTTTACAACCCTATTCTTATTCTCACATTTCTTACAAAGCTGAATTGTATTACAAATACCCTGTAACTGAAAACAACTCATTACCTTGATGTCATCCACCTCTGCAGTTTCTAGTTTTTTTCTGAAGTTCACATCACTCTCCAGAGCCTGAACAACCTCCTTCAGATACCGGCCATATTCCAAATTCAGCTCCTGCGATCAAAGTCACATTAATATTTTAATTTAAAAGCAAAGTAATAAAGAAATATAAGTACAGTATAGTGTGTGTGTGTGTGTGTTGGATGCACTGAAACCAAATTTTGTATTTTTTTTTTTTTTGTTGAACAATGCATTAAAGTTGAAAATTAGAATAACCATATACTCCAATCAGCTTGTGGTGACTGCACAGGTCACCATGCTCTCCAGTCTTCCCTGTATTGACTCCATGAGCTTGAACTGTTGCTCCTCACATGTATTATTGAAACTCTGACAACCGTAAATTGTTGAAGAGATTTAAACATACAATTAGCTATGAAACTCATTACCAATCAATTCTGATTTACCAACAAAAATCATTTGAAGGCATTTTGAGAACTTTAAAGAATTCTCATGTGTTATAGTGATTAACTGACTATAATGGAAATCTGAGTTGCACTCTCTCAAGAGCTTCTCGCCTCTTTCAGTAGGGGATACACCAATTTGGAGTCGAGTCATTTAGAGCCCAGCATTTTGCCAGTGCACTGGGCAGGTTCAGAACAACCTGCCTTACACGAGCTACCATAAGGATCTTCCTCAGAAATACAGTATTACAATAAATGTACAATGTGTTAAATGTAATTTTGTATGCTGTAAAATTTGTATTAGTATGTTAATGTCTTCTCACAGACATCACAACATAGGATAAAAACCCACACTTATGTACAGGTATTTGTGTATCTTGTGTGAAGATTTATACAAAGTCTTTCATACTCTCCTGAGTGCTTTATCAAGGTGGTTTATTTTTATTTATTTAACAAAGTGCTTTATATTAGCCATTGAGATGCAAATTTCATCCTAACATATACTGTACTCGGACCTTGATAAAGCACTCAGGAGACTGTGAAAGACTTAGTATAAATCTTTACATAAAATACACACACATATTATTACATATATAAAGTAGTTTTTTGGTTTTATCCTAATTTGTACCAGTGGTAAAAGACAAATATTGTACTTGTTGTGGAACATGGCTCTTCAATGCATACTCTAAAATAAAAATGCATTGTTGTCCCCTCAACCCTCTGATATACACAAAACTTTGGTGTTTCCTCAGTAATTTTCTCCCTTTTCTATCAATAATGGTAAAAAACAGGTTTACTAATCAGGTGCAATATTCGAACATCAGTGGGTGGTTTGGGGTTGTAACTTTTTACAACCTTACTTTGGGGTTGTAACTCTTCAACACACACTTTTCCTACTTTTATTTCAAGGTAAGGTAATTATCAGGAGAAAGTGCTAAGTACTTGGAGAAGATAAGATGAAAAGGATTTGGGATGGGTTGGAAGTAAGGAATGGTGCCCAACAACTTAAACGGTCAGGGATTGAACACTGACCTGCAATAAGAGAGGCCATCGCTCTACTGTCCACTCCAAGTCGTTGGTCATGGTCAGTCTTATTTAATCAGTTCACCTGATCATTTCGTACCTGATCAACCAGGCTGCGAGCTGCCGTGTCCAACAGCCTGGTTGACCAGTCCAGCAACCAGGAGGCCTGGTCGACGACCGGGCCGCAGCGACGCTAAGCCCCGAAACCATCTCAAGGTAACCTCAAGGTAAGATAACCCGAGGTTTACCTGGAGCCGCAAACCTGTACAACCACTTACCCAATCCTCCGAGTGTTCCTCCCCATCTTCTCGGTGTTCTGCCTTGTGTTCCTCCGGCTGCTTCTCCTTGACTGGGAGAGCTTCCACGAGGACGCCGGCCAGCACCACCAACACCAACAGTCGCCACCTCATGCTGAGCATAATGCAAAAAAAAAAACAAGTTTAAACTTACTGAACACATTTATACCTACAATAAGGTCAAGTTATACAACAAATTTTCCACACAAGCACTGATAATGATCTAAATTTAAAATACTATACTTGAATTCTGGCTCAAACACGGGCACTATTATTTACAAAGTAAATTCGTCCATTATGTACCAACAAGTCTCTGACAGTGATGCAAACTGATGACATCAACTAATCATCAATACATTATTTAATTAGTCATATTAACAAAGCCATTGATGAGCAAGACTACCAACATGAGACAATAAACTGAGCAGCTGCAACATGGCTCTCTTCGGCTACCTCCTGTTTAGTGTCAATTTATTGATAAATAACTTATATGGCACCGTGACCCACAAACAGCTGGCACCGTGACCAACAGCTGGCATCATGACCAACAAACAGCTGGCACCGTGACCAACACACAGCTGGCACCGTCACCAACAAACAGCTGGCACCGTGACCAACACACAGCTGGCACCGTGACCCACAAACAGCTGGCACAGTGACCAACAAACAGCTGGCACCAGACAGAGACCAGCAGCTGCTGCAACAGTGATCCTCAGTGCTCAGAACAGTGATCAACACTTGCCCCGCAGCGAGAGTAATGACCACTACAGTGTACCTGGAACAGTGATCACCACCTGTTGAGCGCAGTATTACTCACTCAGCAAGTGCCTGAGCAGTGCCTGAGCAGCGTGTGAGCTGTGCCTGAGCAGGTGGAGCAGTGACCAGCCTCACACACTCCCGCTGACGTGGTCAAGGTTGAGTTGGAATTTCCACAAAATCACTTCCTACTAAGAGCTGACTGACACGTCAACCTTATAAGAGGGGGAAGTTAGGTTATAATGGCTCCTCCCACCCCGCCCCCCCCTCACACTAGGGGCCGCCCATCACACTCACACGCCCCTCACAGCCACCATACACTCCCATACACTCCGTGTATAACATACTTGAGATCAATAATTAAGACACAACTCACGTCTGGTCAGCTGTGTTTGGGTCCCTCAAAACACACAGAGTTCAAGTACCATGCTGATAATACTTCATATTTTTCAGCTATTTTCACGCTTTGTGCACTCTTTGTATTGTATTATTGTATTTCATAATAATAAAATAAAATGAATGGTCTATTTGCTACGGTTCTACATTTTTTTTAATTGTAGTCTTGATTGGTAGTCATTTTTCATGACGTCATCAACGTGGCTTGAGTTGATGAGAGGGTTTAGTTAATTAATTAATTTATTTACAAATACAAATAATTGTATTGTATTACAAATATATATATATACAAGAAGGTTCATTGGGTTAATAAAGTAAATTCATTAGTGGTTTGAGTGTTATATTCTTGCAAAGCCACTAATACACGTAGTTATTATTATTATTATATAATATATATATATATATATAATTAAAAGATATTAATTAATTAATTAATTAATATCATTCAGGTCCTTAAACTAACCAATACAGGTAATAAATCAATAAATAATAGGCACACTGACAGATTTTCAGTTCAACATAACTACATTATAAATTGATAAATCAGATTATTGTGATGAAGTTGCGTGTGTTTAGTACTAAATTGGGCGAGTGGTTAGCGCAAGGTGGTATACTGTGACGCAAGGTGGTATACTGTGACGCAAGGTGGTATACTGTGACGCAAGGTGGTATACTGTGGCACAAGGTGGTATACTGTGGCGCAAGGTGGTATACTGTGGCACAAGGTTGTATACTGTGATGCAAGGTGGTATACTCTGGCGCAAAGTGGTATACTGTGACGCAAGGTGGTATACTGTGACGCAAGGTGGTATACTGTGACGCAAGGTGGTATACTGTGACGCAAGGTGGTATACTGTGATGTAAGGTGGTATACTGTGGTATACTCTGGCGCAAAGTGGTATACTGTGATGCAAGGTAGTATACTATAGCACAAGGTGGTATACTATAAGGATGAATAATGTCAGACCAAATGGTGTGAGGTAGTTTGAGCTCAGTAACTTCACACACTCACCAATATTGGAAGATATTCTTATGCTGTAGCCAGAGTGTGTGCTGGTGGTGCAGCCTAATATATCACCAGCCTCGTCTGTCATGGTCTCTCCTGATTCCTTGTATGACTGACCATACTCTGAGACCAGCAGGATATTTCTTCTCTAATATAGAACTTATAGCTATATGGGAAACTTGTTACACTTGTTTTTTAACTCAATTATTTGCTGTCTGTAATGAGTGTTCTAATAATATTTGTTTGGACTTACGAGGATGTCCTGTACTGTGATGTGAGGTAGGTGAGTGAGTGAGTGAGCGAGTGATGTACTCACCTAGTTGTGCTTGCGGTGATTGAGCTCTGGCTCTTTGGTCCCGCCTCTCAACCGTCAATGAACTGGTGTACAGATTCCTGAGCCTACTGGGCTCTATCATATCTACATTTGAAACTGTGTATAGAGTCAGCCTCCACCACATTACTTCCTAATGCATCCCATCTGTTAACTATTCTGACACTGAAAAGTTCTTTCTGACGTCTCTGGCTCATTTGGGTACTCAGTCTCCACCTGTGTCCCCTTGTTCACTTACCAACCGTGTTAAACAGTTTATCCTTATCTACCCTGTCAATTCCTCTGAGAATTTTGAAGGTAGTGATCATGTCTCCCCTTACTCTTCTGTCTTCCATTGTTGTGAAGTGCATTTCACGCAGCCTTTTCTCATAACTCATGCCTCTTAGTTCTGGGACTAGCCTAGTGGCGTACCTCTGAACTCTTTCAGCTTCATCTTGTGCTTGACAAGGTACAGGCTCCATGTGGGGGCTGCATACTCCAGGATTAGTCTTACATATGTGGTATACAAGGTTCTGAATGATTCCTTATACAGATTCCTGGAGGCAGTTCTGATGTTAGCCAGCCTCGCATACACCGCCGATGTTATTCTTTTTATGTGGGCACCTCCCATTCGGTATCCTGTTTCCACCACCTAGTTTCATTACCTTACATTTTCTCAGGTTGAACTTTAGTAGCCATTTGTTGGACCATTCATTCAGTTTGTCTAGGTCATCTTGTAGTCTCATACTATCTTCCTCTGTCTTAATCCTTCTTGAGGTAATCTTGAGGTTATCTTGAGATGATTTCGGGGCCTAGTGTCCCGGTCCTTGCCCAGGCCTCCTCTTTGTTACACCCCCCCCAGGAAGCAGCCCGTTGCAGCTGTTTAATTCCCAGGTACCCATTTACTGCTAAGGTCTTTAATTTAGTATGGACTCTCAGATCTACTGTAGATATAACTCTTAGTTCTCACATATTCCCTGGACACAAAATGCTCATGTACACACTCAACACTACTGGAGAGGAGGTAGTTTCCTTCCCTTAACACTTGGGTTTCACATGTTAACACAAAATCTGAATAGCCTTCACCGAGATGCTGTATATTTTAATATCTGTTGTGACATTTAAAGGGATCTCAGATCGTTTCATTCCTCAAGCACCTAATGTCCTGAGATACAGTATTTACAGTTTTAAAGAGCTCACACAACATGGTCTTTCACTCATTAAACATATCAATGGGCCTAAATGCCTATAGTTGGAATAAGCACACAAATACGTATAAATTTGAATTATATATTTGCTGTATTCTTAACAAAATTTAAACCAAATATACAGTATACTTGTTATAAACAAAAAATTTAGGACAACATACAAAATCTTAAAATTAAAGTACGAGTATTTATTTTCAATTTCCTATGAGGATTCATTTAATAACATATATGAGAATGTAACCTTAAATACATATGTACTTACAGGATAACACTGATAAGTGTTATTCTTGGCAGCTACACACACTCAACACACTCCTGCCATTATTTGTCTGGCTGCCTGCTTCATCAGTTACTGTACAGTATACGCTTCTTCCGGGACTCCACCACTAACATTACACAACTATCTGAGGTATCTCTTCAAAGACATGACCACCAAAAAATACCAGATCTATAAAGCACAGACAATTACCCTTCCGGGTAATTCTTCATAATAAGTAATAATAAGTAATACTAAAGTAATACTAAAGTATGCAAGAAGTAATAAATAAGTAAAGAGGGATGAATTGAGTGTAAATTATGATATACCTATTATAATTTTCAGGGTACACAAACTACAGAGCTGCCCAAACACACAAGTCTTCTTCCAGTGATAATGTTCCTTATCCTTCAATAATTATTATACTGTATTAAGTTTCCTTACCATGAATTTTGGTAACTTGATCGCTCTTCTTAATACCGACACTAAGAAAACAGAAGCATAGAAAGCTTACACTATAAGATCAACAATACCAGTAATGCAGTCATATTAAACTATACTGTATATACATATATCTATATATACAGTATTAAATTAGTAACTTTTTGCCCCAGTTTCACATTCTCAAATGAGGGTAGATTTGTGTAAAATATTTCCATAGAATTAATTATTATCCATACATTACACCAAAGTAAGTAATTTTCAAAAGAAGGCACCAAACCGGGAAGGCTATTTAGCACCATCAAATGTGAGGGATAATCAGAGGGCACTAAATATCACCAAGGATGCCAATACGAGAGCAGAAACGCATAAGGCGAACGACATCAAAAGCATCGGAGTTACCAAGAATACTATCGAGAGACAAGCGACCGTGGGGGACGGTCGGAAAACAAGACACACGCTCGTCCCGGAAGTCAGGACATTCAACAAGGATATGCACGACTGTAAGAGGGACAATGCAATTAGGACAATAAGGAGCAGGGCGGCGCTCCATCAAGTGACCATGAGTTAAGCGAGCATGGCCAATACGCAACCTCGCCAGAGCCGTTTCCCATCGCCGGTTACGGGGCAGGAGGATGGCCACAAGGACACACAACTTTTAAGAGTAGTTTGTTACCAGTAACAGACGACCAAGAAGCCTGCCAACGGGTAAGGACGGAGGAATGGATAACCGGGTAAAAGTCGGAATAAAGAATACCTTTACGAGAGATGGGACACGAGCGAACAGCTTCAATGGCGGCAGCATCCGCACGCTCATTTAAAGAGACACCAGTATGGCTGGGAACCCAACAAAACTCAACCGACTTAAATTTACTGTGAACAAGAAACAGCCAATGCTGGATCTCGACAACCACTGGATGAACCGGATTTAAGGACCCAAGAGCCATGAGGGCACTACGAGAGTCAACAACAACTACAAATGAAGATTGACAACGAGAAAGCAGGAGACGAAGAGCACAGAGAATAACATAAAGCTCCGCTGTGAAGATGCTAGTCTCCGGAAGTAAGTGACACATATAAGTGCACTCAGGAAAAACAACAGAGTACCCAACACCGTCCGCAGATTTAGACCCATCGGTGAAGACGGAAACGGAGCGGGAGTGAGAAGAAAAGTGCTCAAGGAAAAGGCGTTTTAGAACCGTAGGACATTAAACCAAAGTTAACAGTAATTTCCTTCACCTTCCACAGCACCAAACACCATTTATTTCAAAAAATTAATTTATAGTGCTATACTTGTCCCACAATACATTGTTGTACTATACTCCTGCCTTACCAAATACTCTCTCCATCAAACTAAAATGAGAACTGGAATAAAACTAAAATGTGAAAATCTAAATAATTCCATTGAATCTGACTGAAAGATATATAACAAAGCATTTACAATACAATAATTGATGCATATTGTCCTAAATACATACATTATATATATACAGCATACTGTATGTATAATATTTATATTTATTTGAACACTACTTGACTCGATCTTTTATTATTAATTTTTTAAAAAATAAATCAGAATCTGAAGACATTGCGGATCATCCACAATGTCAAAGGCACGCAGCCCATCACATCCCACATGGTTGACAAGACAACATACTCCCCTGCAATGTCATAAAGCAATAACAACAATTAAGAAGGCCTATATTGTTTAATTTTAACACTGCTAATGACAGCAACAGCTTCAATATTCATGTTCAGCTTTGATTATGGTTTAAAAGCAAGCAATTATAACACTAACAAGAATCTTTGTATGACATCCAAGGAACTGTGTACATCTGCTTATCACTAATCTGCAATAATCTTGGCACTTACAATATAAATGAATGTCATTTTCTTGTCTTGAAAGTTACTTTTTTCACAAGAGCTAAATATAATTCATGTACCATATTCATACACATGAACAAAATAACAACAAACAGCTACTAAAGCAAAGTCAGTAAAGAAGAATCAAAGTAACCTGCCGAGCTGTGAACGAACTCCTATTAAACACCTTTATAATGACTATACAATTCTGTACTCTACTTACATTTTATTTGCCTCAGATGATAATTTTGATTCTTTCGCTGAATTCTTCTAAGACTCTGGTAGACAATAATATACAGTATATAAAAAGCAACACTTGTTAGCGAGTACATGCTGGAATTTAAAAAAAAAATAAAAAAAAGAAGTTAAGCCTCTCAGTGGCCATTTTATAGAGGTGGCTTTTTCTTCTCCCTCACTGGCCTCACCGGCGCTGGTCCTGGGTCCTCTTCTGTTTCAAATGCCTCGCTGACTTCCTCTACTTGTCCTGAAACTTCAGATTCCTGTTTTTTAGCCTCATGTTCATAGATAAGAGCCTTCCCAGTGGCTTTTGCTGTACGTTTGGCAATTCCCTTTACTCCTAAAGAGGCAATATTGTGACCCGCAAAAGCAGTTTGTCCAACAGCATAAAGGGTGTTGTCTGCCAGGTGTCCAGCATCTTCACCATACCTGCCAAGAACATCAACATTAGGTACAATTTAGTCATTTTCATATTAAAGGACAAAGTAGTATTTACAGTACAGTACTCACAAACAAATGGGAACACTATACAGCAAGCTACACTTTCCATGAGGCGTATAGCAGGTAAGGTTAAACAAACATCTCTAAACTGCATGAATGGTCATGACATCTCACTTTTTGTTTTTAGTACAGTATTCTATAAACATCATGTTAAAGATACATTTTTAAGTGTAAGTGTAATTGCAAGATGAGAGGTATGCTTGTGGTGTCCCATCTTACCAGTACTCAGTCATATGACACTTTGAAACTACCGATGGTTTTGGCATCCACCACCTTCTCGCTTAACATGTTCCAACCGTCTACCCTTGTGTTTGCAAATGAGAATTTTCTTATGCAGGCGATGAGTCACAATAACGTGGCTGAAGTATGTTGACCAGACCACACACTAGAAATTGAAGGGACGACGACGTTTCGGTCCGTCCTGGACCATTCTCAAGTCGATGAGAATGGTCCAGGACGGACCGAAACGTCGTCGTCCCTTCAATTTCTAGTGTGTGGTCTGGTCAACAGAATTTTCTTATATTTTTTGGCACCTTTGTTTCTTTTACTTGAATATATGACCGCCTTTTCTTGAAGTTGAATGTGTAAATAATTCCCATTTGTCTATTTTGTAGATTTGTTACTACTGTATTTTGTATGTAGCGATCACGTCACCTCTTTTTCCTTCTAGCTCTAGCATAGTTAACATCTCCAGCCTCTCCCTATAACTAATTTTTCAGTTGCAGAAGCCCTTTAGTAACGTGAATTGCACCCTTTCCAGTACAGTATATTGATGTGCTTCTTGAGATACAGGCACCATACAACAGCAGTGTATTCCAATTGTCGACTTACAAAGGTTGTGAAGACTTTTTTATATTTCACCAGCCATGTATTTAAAAGCAATTCTGAAGTTGGAAAGTGTAGCATAGACTCCTCTCACAATGTTCTTTATGTAGTCCTGTGGAGACAGTTTACTGTCCAGGGCCACCCCTAGATAGCTTTCATTGTCCGAGTTCTTCATTGTCTTTCCACACAATTAGTATGTTGTAGCCTATTTTCTCCTATTCCACATTCCATGATGTTGCATTTATTCACATTGAATTCCATCTGCCATATGTTGCTTCATTCACTTATTTTGTCCATATCATCTTGAAGGGCATGACAGTCATTCAAGTTTCTAATTTTTCTAGTAGCTTAGCATCATTGACATATATTGGTTTTTGTAGAGTCTAAAACCCATCAGTACTTTCAAAATGTTATATGACAGAGTACTGGGAAGACGAGACACCACGAGTATAGCTCTCATCCTGTAACTACACTTAGGTGGTAATAATTTTCATATAACTCAGTATCCCCACTGGCAGATCATTTATATACACAACGAACACTACTGGTGCTAGAACTGAACCCTGTGGTACTTCGCTTGTAACATTTCTCTAGTCCTCTGGAGAATTACCTCCGATTACCACCCTCAATTTTCTGTTAGAATATCTGGCATCCATGTCAGAAGTCTGCCTGTCTGCCCTCCAGCATGTTCCAGTGTGTTTGAAGGTCTGTGTTTGGATATACTAGTACTGTATCAGTGTCTAACCTACTGTTTTATTTTCTCCAAATCAGATATTCTAAAGCACTCTCTTCTAACACATACCTTTGGTTATTGAACTTTACTATTTTCTCTTACATTTTTTGTAATTGCTATATAGTAAATACAGTATTTTAGGAATTGATAGTGTAAGCCAAGTTATGCATGAAGTGAGAAAATACTGAGGATTGAACAAGAAAGTTGCAAGGGACAGACAATGAGAGGGAAGAGCTATGAAGGTTAAGATACAAGTTAAGGAGCTGTTTTAGTTAACTGGTGATGTAAAGATTCCTGACTGGGACCCGACACTCTTAGTCGAGTGTTCCACTTGCTCGGTGCTTCAAACAACCATGCTCACAGAAGAAAAGCAACAACAGAACCCTACTTGTGAGAGATCACATTGACCGTGTTATCGGTTAGGCTGGTGGCAAGCATGGCTGCAGCGGATTCTAAACTCATGTAGATAGTCGAGGCTCCACGCACTGCTCCTGCCGCTACTTCCAGCACACCTTCGACCTGTTGGTTAGTATTACACAACTATCAACTTATACTTCTTTCGTAAAGATTCCAATTATTCTTTCATAAATCACCTTGCCCAACCTACTCATTACTCCCGAGGCTTATGTAACTGGATGATGGAGAACAGAAACATATTAACACACGTGCAGCAAAGCGTATCACAGCACCACAAAGTATTCAAACAAAAATTTATACGTGTAATAGGAAGATTTAGGACAGTACAGGGCTGTACAGAACATACACAGTACTAGTTAATTATTTAAACACAGTATGCTGCAAGCTTCTTTATTTTGTAATTACCTGTAGAGTATATTTAACTACAGAAATTAATAATAGTTATTTCAAAAGGTAAACCACTCTTCAAACAATAGTTTAGTAGACATATTTCTAAAACCTGCCATTCACTAGTTATGAATAAGCCAGCACACTCTTACCTTCCAATATTACTATATAAGCAAACTTGTCATGGTATTTAATTTTTCTTCCGTTTGCATTTTTAATTATATACCCATTATCACGTATCCTGAATATTAAAGTAAAGCATCCTAAAGATATTTATTTTATGCCCATTTTCAGTATTCTGGCCCATCTTTTCAAAACACGTGTCCTATATATATTAGCACATTCCTTGTTACACAATAACTATATTTTTTTCAATTACAGTTGGCTGAAGAACATACTCTGTTCTTTCTGGCAGCATCTCACAATGTTCTGGACAAATGCATGAAATACTGTACAGTCACTGACCCTAATGTCACTCACATACGTTAGGACAAAACCCTGTTGAAAAATTCTGCAGGTTTGAAAGTCCAGACTATCTATACACACGAACACATCTTGTACTCCCCAATATGATGTGACATTGATTGCTATTTGATTAATTGAGTGCACTGGAGTCTTGTTGATCTTCTAGTTGGAGTCAGAATTTGTATTGAGCATAGGAACAGTAATTATTTAAATTAGTATTCTCTGTAAATCTTTTGTTTTTCAGCAGATGCCAGGATGGCATTATAAAAACAACAACACAGTAGTAGGAAACATATTGTTCTTTTCTCTCACTATGGAGAAAGTATGGAATGTATATTAAGCAGTTCCCATGGTGCAGTGGTAAAACACCAGCCCAGCGCTTCGTGAGCACTTTGGCCTAGGTTCGTATCCTGGCCGGGGAGGATTGACTGGGCGCCAATCCTTAACTGTAGCCTCTGTTCATCCAGCAGTGAATGGGCACCTGGCTGTTAAACGATTTGGCGGGTCATATTCCAGGGAAAATTAAGATTAAGGACCTGCCCGAAACGTTATGCATGCTAGTGGCTTTACAAGAACGTAATAATTCTTGTACATAAAAATATATATAATTAAGACATATAAAGTTATGATATTTATGAGTAATGTGATTGTAACACATCCTTACCTACAAAATATTGAAACAAACAGTCATTTAGGGAAAAAGGAGAGTTGTATTAAATGCAATGAAACAATAGTTTCAACATGTTGTAATGTCCGTCATGAAATCTAGCCTTCATAACACAAGTTTAAACATAGTAGCTCCAGTTGTTTGGTGGCAATAGGGGAAAATGTCAACTGATATACAGAGCTAAATTTGTCACGAATAATTTAAAAAATATATAAAACTGAAGTACTAGTTAGAAAAGAACCTTCATGTAGTATGATTTTAGATGTGAATAAATGGTATACAAATTATATCAAGAAAGTTTTTTATTATACCAAGAAAGTTTTTTTAGTTTCAATAAGCAAAGCAAGTTGCCTGCTTAAATGGCAGTTACAGCACTCACATCAGAAGTCGCTTGTTTTTCATTTTTTCCCGTCAAGTGAGAGATAGCACGAGTGCCCTGCTTCTGAATATGTGGTGCCAGGCGCTTACCCAGTGCCATTGTTGCCTTCCCAACTTGATTCACTGCAATGAGAAAAAATAATCAGTAATACATCGAGTTCCTTTCTATACCCGTCATACCTTTCATGTTTTACAATTGTTTTATATAATCCACAACTTTGTCTATTGTGCTCTTTCCTCCCTGACTCTTGCTTCCATCCCCCTGCTCTCCCTACCCTCCCAGTAAGTATGTCTGCCTCTATACACACTACTTGCACCCTATAATACCTGTGTGTATGTCAAGTCAGTAGTCTGAATATACAGAGTCTGCCATTAGACACCTTGTAAGACAAAGCATCCCTTGCAGAGGCATGCACATTATGGACGAGAAGAGAATTGACTTGAGAATGGTCCAGGACGGACCAAAACGTTGTCGTCCCTTCACTTTCTAGTGTGTAGTTCGGTCAACACATTATTGACAATTCAACACATTGTATGTACTTCCCAGGCCTAAAAATCTTTTGACCATTTTAATACAATGCGCATTTGCTAAATATTACGCAAGATGAAAATGTGTGATTTTTGCACGTTTGTTTAAAAAACAAAACAAGAAATAATTTAGATTTCTTTTTTCAATATAAATTCACCAAGTAAACATTTACAGAAGGAAATATTATGCCTTAACTTACAGAGGTAACCACTAATTTTCACGGCTTTCCCTGATATATCTCTTGCCACTTTAGCCGTTGTCTGCCACTTGGGATCAATTTCAGTTTTCTGCTCCACCGGCTGAACATAACCTTTGAGACTCTCCGAGCCATAACTTATCAGCTCTCCAAGTTTCTCAGCACCCCAGACCACCCCTTTGGACAACGTCTCTGCTCCTGTAACATAACAAATTTACACTCTTTTTACTGTATTAATCTATCTGTTACTGTTAACCGTGATAAGGTCTCTACACACTGAACTCCATATTGGGACCCAAGTACTGAACTACAGAATTGATGAGGGTAATTAAGATTATAGATCTACAAGAAGATACAAATTTACTAAATTACGTTCAGTAAATGATGTGAAATTGACAGTTGTGTGGAAGACAAACCTCACTTCTCTATATCGTGAGCAAAGCCACCTGCAGAGGCCTAGATACAAGTAATCTACATGCAGGGTAAAAACACTAAAAAGGAACATACTGCTAAAACCAAAACACAATTACTAAAATACCTGGCAAAGATGTAATAACAAAGAATATGCAATATGTTGAAACTACACTTGTAATAATTCTTATGCTAATCAATGGTACAGCAAAATCACACATGTAGTTCAATGATACTTAAATAAGAATACTTTACTATCATAGCAAAAAATAAAAAACGAGTTACAGAATTCAAATATCACTAGCACCAAGACGAAGTGTTTTACATGCAAGTAGAGAACATCACAAAAGTTCACTGGAAAGTTAAAGCAATAAGGGTCCTAAAATATACTCTATCTATATTTATATCTATCTACAGCTGTTACATATTTCAAGTCGAAAAGTACTCATGCATGGCTTCCTCAACACCCAAAGTAACCGGAAGGTTATCTATTTACTGTATTAAATCAACCACACTCCTTTCCCAGCTAAATGAGTTGGTGTGTGTGCACATGACGTAGCATAATCCCCACATTACACACGCGCACACACACGCTGCGGTGTCGGCTCCTAAGTGAGGAGGGTTAAGACGAGTGATCAGCACAGGCACAGACACAGCCAGCCAACCACAGCTCGCCTCAGTTAGTTTATGTTGCTCACCGTTGATGTCAATGTCTGACCACTTGCATAATAAGGAAATACCTTAAATTGTCATGTGTCAAGATAAAATTAAGATGTTTTGCCAATATGTAGAGCATTCATTTTCTTATTTAGCAAGAGATTTATTAAGAGATTTATTAAGAGATTCTTATTAATCTCATTGTTAGCTGTATTTTTTGTTAGAAATCATTTGTGATAACATATCATTATAAGCATTTATTCCAGTGTACTCCACCCTACAAATGCTGATAGCATTTCACTAAATGTATAACATGCAGTGCTGTACTGTAATGCAACTTGCATATGTCCGAGTGTGGAGGAGGCAACATTCACCATGATAGAGATGTTAATTGCAGGTGTAATAAATACCAATTCAATTATTATAAATATAAATATGGGGACAACAAAGCAAGACATAAATGCATATAAAATATAGAGCATAGTACTAGTGTTTTATTCATGATGGGCGACATGATCAGTACATGCCCACGTTATCAAAGTATTGCAGTTATCCTTCCAAACCTGTACTGTTTTCTCCATAGGTTATATTCTTGTATTTTCTTAGTAAATCATAACCTGGTCATGTTAGCTCTACTCTATTTTGTTTCGTTATCAACTGCAACTCCAAGTTTCTTCATCACATTTACAGTACTTTGATGATTAACACTGTAATGGTGGAAAATTCATCAATAATCACACTCTCTGTGAGGTTTATTCATCTCGTGTCATCACTATAATTGTTCTCTATGTAGTTTAATTACTCTCTAACTACCATCAATAACAACTCTACAGCACTAGTAATAACACAATGTTCCAATATACCTGAATTGAACAACACACCTTCCCTGCATTCAACACACATTGAACAATAATTCATCAAACTTCAGGTTAATTATTTTACATACAAAGATGAATTCAAACTCTGTATAAAACACTAAATACAGTATTGGAAAAAAGTCATTAAAAATGGCTTTAAAAATTTTGTATATGTTGGATGCTGATAAAGGTGAAAAATCATACCTATGGTAAGTTTGGCTTAATGTAAAAATCTAAGATTTATCCACCTCTAAATTGTGTTATCTCTAGTGGCTGACACCCCAATCTATGCCCTAAATTCTGTAAAGTCCTTCATTTAAATAAAATTTCTCAAACCACTATTGAATTTATGCATCAGAAGATATTTAATATATATTTGATGTATTGACAGAGGAGTGCCATGGGAAACAATATATATTATGCATAGTAACAGTAAAAATGCCCTGACACTAAAATAATGTTTCCTAATTCCAATAAGATGAAGCATCCTCACACATTGCAAAGTTAGCATTTCTTTAGCGGAAGCATGGCAGAGTTAAGAAGCAATCATCAAACACATTAGACTCCTGGGGCTAGATTCACGAAGCAGTTATACAAGCACTTACGAACCTGTACATCTTTTTTTCAATCTATGGCGGCTTTGTTTACAGTTATTAAACAGTTAATGAGCTCCGAAGCACCAGGAGGCTCTTTATAACAATATCAACAGTTGTTTGGGAAGTTTTCATGCTTGCAAGCTGTTTAATAAATGTAACCAAAGCTGTCAAAGATTGAGGAAAGATGTACACATTCGTAAGTACTTGCGTACCTCGTGAATCTGGCCCCTGGTTCTGCATTGTGGCTTTCTGATGAATCCATATTGAACCAGGCATGTACTGTACTGTGTGTGTGTACATTTATTGTACACCAAAACTTCAAAATGTTAACATTAAAACTTTATATGACATTCCAAATACCATAACTCTATATGAAAGTAAATCCTCAGTTACTGAATACTTCACACAATGTACTCCGTGATTTTGCTGTTCCTTCCAGTACAGTACCTGTTACCAGACCTGATGCAATCCGCTCAGCGGTAGATTTCTCTATTAACTTTGTTTGCTCCAAACGGTCAACTCCCGGAGGAACTTCTTGTTCTTGATACGAGGTCATTTGAATAAGAATGTGCTCCAGTAATTCTTTGGTTTCCTTGTCTACCGTGTCTGGAATGATCACTCCAACACTTGAACCTGTTGAGCAATGTATTGTTATTTATGAAAGGAAACCAATCCTTTGATCAGAAAATACAGTATTCTAGTTTCTAAAGCACACACTTCATTCTCCACAACTCATCGTAATCATGGACTCCATTCTCATCATCTCGCCCCAATCATGGACCTCATTCATCATCATCTCACCCCAATCATGGACATCATTCTCATCATCTTGCCCCAATCATGATCATCATCTCACCCCCAATCATGGACCTCATTCTCATCATCTCACCCCAATCATGAACATCATTCTGATCAACTCATCCCAATCAGATGAATGTAACAAAAACCATGATACACACAGTAAAGATAATAAAGGATAGTGTAAACTTTGGTCAGTGAGAAACAGAGAACATAAGCATCATTGACAATTTAATATCTTACAACTATAGCCTGGACTTTTTGTCACAATACCAGTACAGTACAGTATATAGATTTCAAAAAGTAAAATATTTCCACTTGATATGAAGCAAGATCATAACTACTGAATATTTTCCATTTACCATCACATTAATGTCAATGATTCAGTGAACAAAATGTTACTATGTCACCAAATATTATCGTGAGATATCTTTTACTATAACTATTGTTCAGTGTTCGTTAACCTGAGCACGAGACGTGAAATACTAACCACATTACAAGTATAAAATACCAGAGACAATTTGCCTTTATATACTTACAGTATGTGACTATGTTAGGTCTAGTGAACAAGAGAATCACAGATTTTATTCCAAGAAAGATTAACTGCAGAAGTAATTTTGTAATTACAATACTTGCTGGAGCAGTTGATGGTAAGATTATTGGTTTAACATTATAATAAATGCTTTCTTAAACTCTCACAACTCAACAAATTACAATTACATATGTTACGACTCACCTGGCACACTACTGCTAACATCTGGAAACATGTAAGCACCATAGAAGGAATGAAGAACGGGACTCTGGGCAGGGATCAGCGGATAGCTCCACTCACCAACTTGGATGAACCCCCGAGCACCACTTGGGGCACCACCACCACCAATAGGTTCTGTTGGCAGGTGTCAAAGTCTGTAACATGTGATCTGTGTCTTGAGCACTACAGGTGTGCATTACATACAGTAGTATGAAACATATATACCTGTACAAGCATACAGTGTGCTGCCATAAGAGTACCGAGTCAAAGTTCTGTATACAGTATATGTTACGTTATTTATTAGGCAGTGTTTTTTGCCCTTTGCTAGTGTTGCTTGGATAGATTATAGGACTACTTTTGTTATCTGCACATTAGTACTTTAATGAGATCAAACTTATACAATAGCAGCACAACCTTAGTTAGAAATATCTTACAAATAAATTTTGAATATATTTTAAAATAAAAATTAAAATGCATACAAATATTAAAATATAAAAATCAGTGAATTCAATCGCAACAATACACAAACTGTTGGGACAGTATACCAAACAATACTCACGAGGAAAAGTGAACACAGTAAGGAAGGACGGATAAGAGGGACTTGTGACTCGTCCATCTGGATAGATGAAGAAGATCTGAACACCATTCTCAATCTGGAAGATCATCTCTCCCTGCTGTGGCGACATTACTGGTGTTGCGGGAGGAGCCTCAACCATCTCAAAATCTGATTCTTGTCCCTGAATAGTATTGATACACTTTATTTTTGTTATGGATGAATACATATGAAGCTTTCTTAACTGTAGTTACTAAATAAAGGTTTGCAAACATTTTCAATAAGAATACTGGCAGCGAAGTTAAAGAGAATGTATCGAGATTGTAAGGGGGAAATTATCTTTTCATATGTGCAGAGCACCTTCTTTTATGTGAATTAATGTGAGCTAGCATTCTTTCAGTGATTATGTAATTGAGGATATCCTAAAAACACTCCTTTCCACGAAGAGCAATATTTAACCAATAACCTAACACTTTACAACAAACCAATGTAGAATGACTATATATCCAGATGAGCATGCACAAAGAAACAGGTAAACATGAGGACTAGTATGATATACCCGAGGGTGAAGGCCACCGAGGTGTGAAGAAGCAGCACCTTCTGTCGCTGCTGCTGCTGTCCTGTCGCTTCCTCCACCTGTAACAACAAATCAGAGAATATATTTTACATGTCCACTAGTATCAAGGAGGACCAAATGTATTGGCAATGAATGCATCTAGTGGCAATGAATGCATCTAGTGGCAATGAATGCATCTAGTGGCAATGAATGCATCTAGTGGCAATGAATGCATCTAGTGGCAATGAATGCATCTTGTGGCAATGAATGCATCTTGTGGCAATGAATGCATCTAGTGGCAATGTATGCGATTAAATTTATAAACACATTTTTAACTAAACAAATTTATTGGAACATTCTTTAATAGGCCACTCAGCTGAGTGGCTGAACTTTAGGGAATGGCACCCGGCCTCCAAAGCCCACTCAAGTCTACTGGGAACCAGAACCAGATTCTATCTCTCTACAAGATGATGCTAGCATAGGGTATCAGAGATGAACCCAAAATCAATAAAACATCACCAGAAATTATACATCTATCAAAACCACTCGACCCACTTTAAGTCATTCAATATGAACAATTGTGCAGGTCATCAGCTTTGCACTTGACGTCTCACAATTATATTTTTATTTCTTTATCTTTTCCTTCTAATACATGATTCTCAGATTATTAATTTACATCACAACAGCACTGGATAACAAAGTTAATTTCTATTTTTCTAACTCTCTCTTGATCCCTAGGTTGCATAACTCACCTGAATCGACTGACTTGAGGTAATCATCATAGGAAGGCGGAGCATCATCAACCTGAGGAGCCACTGCAACAGTACTGGGGCTCACTGCAGCCTGGGCATCCGAAAAGTGATTTAACACTTCTTTCCTGAAATGATAATACCGTAAATGTATTCCTGTTTTTGAAAACCTAAATAATTATTATGTATTTTGCCATAAACATAGGCTGGTATAATGACCACAGCCTGGTACATTGACCACAGCCTGGTGCATTGACCACAGCCTGTACTGTCCCAACAATAATATAAATAAGGGTAAACATTACCCATCATCTCTTTACTGGGCTGCAGCCAGTGTTGCAAAAGTTTGGCATGTGTCATAACACAATATTGCAATCCAAAACACAAAATTAACCAAGCTGCAGTAAGCAAACAACACATGCTTACCATATTATTTAATTAATTAAATGCTTTCCTTGTGTTAAGCATATTTCCTACTGAGCATACTCTCAAATCTCCCCCTCAAATAGAGGGGGCTTATTGTACCACATTCCTACCTTATTAAACAAAATGTTGTCCTACCTTGTGCATCTCATCTTGACCTGCATCTCCGCATACTGTTGTACTTTCTCAGCACTACAGTCAAAGGATTCCACCTTGATGTTGAGGGCATTGTCAATCATGGTGAGACCCTTCTGCAGCACTATTCCAGCCTGCAAACATTTTTGTACTTGTACTAGATCTGATAACAGTGGTTGTGAGGAATGGAAAAAAGTCTTCAGGATATTGAAAGATTCAGTAAACTCTGCTGTATACACCTATCTAGTATCCAAAACTCTTCCGTAACCAATCTGGCCAATTTGGATTTAGTTTGAAAGTGGATTTTTGGATTGGCCTTTTCCAGAGTGGGCTAGTTTACACAGTTGGTAAACATAAGTTGGTAAAGTGGTCGGTAACCCAACCACAACAGTGTGGCCGAGGCCAGTGTGTTTTGAATCACCCTCAGCATAGATGACTGTGCTTTGTCTAATAACTACATAAATCACTGGAATTTTATAAGAAGACCTCTAAAAATATGTAATATTTTAGCACCTGCGGCTTTACCACATTTTAGCTTGTACAATGTTGTAATGACCTTACATCTATCAGCTGTCATTTGATCCTGCACTCACTCTCCTCACACTAAATCCAATTATGGTTATAACAGCACTTCTTTTAACACTTCCATCCAGCACATTCAAAATATTCACTTAATCAACATTCTAATGACATCTTCACTATTTAACATTCTGTCATGTCTATATACAACACTCAGTTTTACTTCTCTACTAGTTGCTATACTATTTTATGGCTTTACAAAAGAGCTTTCTTTTCTAGTGGAAAGAATTTTTGTAAGCTGGATCCTCACCCCAGTCCCGTCCCCTTATACTGTAGAGGATGTGAAGCAAACTGTGCCTCACAGTGGAGGACAGTGGTGACAACAATCATTATCTTCAGTTCCTGTATAACACAGATCTAAGAAATGTAGACATTTACATACCACAGAGTCTATCACAGATTAAGAAAGTAATTAGTAACAGAGCAATGCAAAAGATGTACAGTGACCACAACACAGCAGTTGCAACACCAGGATCTGCGGGTTGGTACAAGAATTTAACCAACTACGAACCACTTTGTTTGATGATAGGGAGCAGTAGAGCAACAGAAGTACACTTACATCGCATCAGGCTTGGATACCCATGTACATGAGAAATAGGCTTACAGGTTCCGAAAGATGAGAGGAAATGTCAGCACTGTGGAGAAATGTCCGACAGACCACTGGAACATTATCTAACACAGTGCACAGTTACAAACCCATTAAGATTTCAACTTAGATTCAACGGGGCAGAAGAAGTTGTTAAACACATATGGCAAAATCTTACTGAAGCAGCCATATGAGTCATAAATACTCATACTCCGCCCAAGTAAAACCAAAACAAGCAACACTTAGTGGGCCAGCCAGAGGCTTAGGGCCTGTGCAGGAATATCCCTGCAAAAAAAAAAAAAAACTGATCTTGTCAGTGACAAGATCTTGCTATTTTGACGATCTTGTCAAAATAAGATTTCTAAAAATACAGTGATATTATTAAGTTAAATATTTATAGCCCTGTCATGATACTATTAAAAAAAAAGGTTTATAGGCTTTATGGCGCCATACAAACCTGTGTGTGAAGTCCTCTCGAAGCTAATTTGATGCCGTGATCAATTAGCTTGTATGCCTCTTTATAGGACCTCTCAAATTCCTCCTCCAGTGTAACTGCTGCTGGTGTCAGGTTGGCTGGTGGAGGTGGTCGACCTGGAGCAGGTGGCTTGGGCAACCCTGAACTCATCTATAATATGAAAAATATTACATTAATTTAACACTTCTTTGTGAGTGTCAGGAGTCTAATTAGCTGTTCTTCTTGAGCTGGTACTTTGTTCCAATTCACCACAATCAAAGTCTTATGAGGGTAAATTGAAAATTTTCCATAAATCTTTCTTTGAAACATTTCTACATTATAACAGGATAATAAACCTTTCAGTGTATGACCATTCTGTGACATGGGAACTTATAGTAAACTTACAGAACCAGTTGTTGTTGTACTCACCTAGTTGTGCTTGCGGGGGTTGAGCTCTGGCTCTTTGGTCCCGCCAAAGAGAACACAGAGAACATAAGCACAGAGAACACTATATAAACATCAGAGGTCCAAGGTTTTTCAACATCCTCCCAGCGAGTATAAGAAATATTGCCAGAATAATCGTGGACGTCTTCAAGAGAAAAGATAGATTTTTTCAAGGAGTGCCAGACCAACCGGGCTGTGGTGGGTATGCGGGCCTGCGGGCCGCTCCAAGCAACAGCCTGTTGGGCCAAGCTCTCACAAGTCAAGCCTGGCCTCGGGCCAGGCTTGAGGAGTAGAAAAACTCCCAGAACCCCATCAACTAGGTGTCAAGCAAGCAGTACGCTCTTGACCTACGCTATAATCCCTTGTAGCACACACTGTCTCATACACTCATCAACAGTCGAAGATATTCTTGTGCTCTTTTGAGTGTGTGTAGTGCAGGCTAGTGAAGGCTAGTAGAAACGCTACTATGCCCGAAATGCTATGCATATTAATGCTTTTAGGTATTGTATGTACCAGCTCTAACTATAAATCCAACATTATGTTTGTAAATCATCTATGTATGTACTTTTCCTGAATAAAAAAATTGAATTTGAATTTGAATAGACTAGCCTGGCATCCCATCGTCTGCTCCGAGGCCATGTAGGACTAACCATCCCATCATGTGGGGATATTACATCAACTCTAGGCTACCTTTTGCTCTACACTCTACAGTCCTCCATACCCAACAGGACTGTGTGTATATGTGTACCTAAATTGGTTAACTCAAATACTGTTGCTGTTCCTAAGCGTGTTAGTAAATCAAATACAAATTCGGAGCCTATATGGCTACTCTGGGCTCCCCTGGGGTGAACCTTAGCCCTCAAGTCCGGCCACCTCTCTCTAGTGTCACCCTCGACCAAGCAATAGAGTGTGTCGTACTCACTGTTCAGTAGGGTGGGAGAGGCTGGAGGAAGGTGTGGGAGACGAGGGAGCCGAGGGAGTGGTGAGAGGAGGCGAGAGTGAGCCACCACCGCTGATCTCACCACCCATAACACAACAACTCGTGACGTCATCACACCACCACCCGTGACGTCATCATAACGTGCTAGAGCTCGCAAGACAAATGTTTCTTCCATTTTTACTTATATAAACAATCAGAGGAGTGTTATTACTTAATTAATTACCATTCCATTAAAATACATATATTTAGATATATTTTATTTAGAACGTGTTATTTTTGTTCTGTATAATTTACTAATTTACATATTACAAGCTGAAAACTCTAATATACATGACGTCATACTTCAGTATTAATGTGTGCTTCTTTTCGTAATACAGTTTCGATATATGGTTTAAAATGACAAAAAATACTATACTGTTCACGCCACACAGTATTAAATATTTCTTCTAAAAAGACTATACAAGAAATCAAAGTTAAATTGGGAAATGAATCCAAGAGATGACTAAATAAATCCGGATTGAAGTCTCCAGTGAAGCCAAACGCCCATGACGTCATAATCCGCTGAAAGTGCCATAAATTACATAATGAGAGAAAAGTATGGCAGGCGGAAGGGGAGTGGTGAGAGGTGGAGCAAATTGTTATTTTATCTGAGTGAGTGAGAGTGAGAGTGAGAGTGAGAGTGAGAGTGAGAGTGAGAGAGAGAGAGAGAGAGAGAGAGAGAGAGAGAGAGAGAGAGAGAGAGAGAGAGAGAGAGAGAGAGAGAGAGAGAGAGAGAGAGAGAGAGAGACAGACACGTTGGGGGCCTGTGGCTGAGTGGACAGCGTGCGGCACTCGTAATCCTATGGCTCGGGTTCGAATCCCGGCGCCGGCAGAGACATGTGGACAGAGTTTCTTATACCCTAATGCCCCTGTTACCTAGCAGTAAATAGGTACCTGGGAGTTAGCCAGCTGTTACTGGCTGCTTCCTGTATGTGTGTGTGTGTGGAAAAAAAAGTTGATTGACAGTTGAGAGGCGGGCTCAGAGATCCAGAGCTCAACCCCCGCAACCACAACTAGGTGAATACAGAGAGAGACAGACAGAGACAGAGAGACGGAGCTAGAGATACAGAATGGTGGGGGGGGGGTGTAGAGAGGCACGCAGGGAGGAGGAGTGAAGGAGGCGTTTTACTGAGTGCAATCACGAGCAATTTAAAGGATCCTCTCTTGACAGCGATGAGAGGCCAGACCTGTGTTGCAGGAGGAAGTGCACAGCAGCAGTTACAGCCAGGTGCCTGCAGCAGCAGACGGAGCCAGCTTCCTGCAGCAGCAGACGGAGCCAGCTTCCTGCAGCAGCAGACGCAGCCAGCTCCCCGCAGCAGCAGACGCAGCCAGCTTCCTGCAGCAGCAGACGCAGCCAGCTCCCCGCAGCAGCAGACGCAGCCAGCTTCCTGCAGCAGCAGACGCAGCCAGCTTCCTGCAGCAACAGATGCAGCCAGCTCCCCGTAGCAGCAGACGCAGCCAGCTCCCCGTAGCAGCAGGCGCAGCCAGCTCCCCGTAGCAGCAGACGCAGCCAGCTCCCTGCAGCAGCAGACGCAGCCAGCTCCCCGTAGCAGCAGACGCAGCCAGCTCCCTGCAGCAGCAGGCGCAGCCAGCTCCCTGCAGCAGCAGACGCAGCCAGCTCCCTGCAGCAGCAGACGCAGCCAGCTCCCCGTAGCAGCAGACGCAGCCAGCTCCCTGCAGCAGCAGGCGCAGCCAGCTCCCCGTAGCAGCAGACGCAGCTAGCTCCCTGCAGCAGCAGGCGCAGCCAGCTCCCCGTAGCAGCAGACGCAGCCAGCTCCCTGCAGCAGCAGACGCAGCCAGCTCCCCGTAGCAGCAGACGCAGCCAGCTCCCTGCAGCAGCAGGCGCAGCCAGCTCCCTGCAGCAGCAGACGCAGCCAGCTCCCTGCAGCAGCAGACGCAGCCAGCTCCCCGTAGCAGCAGACGCAGCCAGCTCCCTGCAGCAGCAGGCGCAGCCAGCTCCCCGTAGCAGCAGACGCAGCCAGCTCCCCGTAGCAACAGACGCAGCCAGCTCCCTGCAGCAGCAGATGCAGCCAGCTCCCCGTAGCAACAGACGCAGCCAGCTTCCTGCAGCAACAGACGCAGCCAGCTCCCCGCCGCAGCAGACGCAGCCAGCTCCCCGTAGCAGCAGACGCAGCCAGCTCCCTGCAGCAGCAGATGCAGCCAGTTTTAAAACCAGCTGCTACCCGGAGCAGCTGGTTTTAAGGCGCCAGAGGTACGCCCTCGCCCCTCCTCCTGTCGGTAAAAGCAGTTCCGTCGGACTTAAAGACTAAGCCACCCGTGCAGGCTAGGAGTTGGACTTGGTTGTCAGAGGCTATTTGAGACGCATGCCGTATAGGAGCATTTTATAGGTCATGGGAGCTCTTCCCCCATTACCATCCCCTGGCTATGGCAACCCCTTGGTTCGGTTTACCCTTGGTAAACCTTATTTTTTGTAAACCTTATTATTTTTTCTTGGTATTTACATTATTATCTGTATTGGTTAGTTTAAGGACCTGTGGACTTCTAGGTAGTATAGCAAACTTTTACACTTTCAGGTTATAAAAAGGTAATTTTGCTTTCAAATTAAAGTAAAGAAAATGTTATTTTCAACAGCAACAATCTAGGGTTTATACTTTACCATAGGACCATTTGTTAGTCAAAGTTACGAAATTCACATCAATTTTGAGACATTAAAGATTTTTTGGTAGAGAAATAGTTTAATCAATAGTTCACAGCATCAATATTTTGCTAGCATTCTCTGGGGAGGAATAAGACAACTTAATAAATAATGGCCAGTCGAGGTTTAGACCATAGATGCACAGATTCAAGAAGTGGATTAAAAGGTAGTCAACGATTAGGAACATCACGATTTAATTAACAATAGAACGCTTCACTCTATTTCTCATTGTACTTTATTTGAAGTCTGAAAATTATATGGGAAAGCTGTGGCAGTGTGAGGTGCAAAGTTTGATGGCAATACTTTGGCCATGTTTGAGAACAGATTTTCAAAGTCTGGAGAAAAAGAGTAACTCCAGACAAGCCGCCGGCTTCTGGGCCATGTCGAGACTACTAGAGATGGTGGCTCCCTTGGGGAAGTCCTTTCTACACCAATACCACAAAGTTTTCCCCAAACGAATATAAAACCCAATTGTATCGCCAAGACACCGCGGACACCATACAACGAATCTCAAAGACATCAAGCAGTTTGAAACCACACCTCCCCGCCGCCTTCCATTACCTGACGAAGGTCAAGGGAGTGTGACGGAAAGCTGCCATCATTAACACTGGTAGTGTAGAGGGGACACCGGTGGTGTAGAGGTGGAGGGGAGAGTGATGGTGTGATCGTGGTGGGGAGCCCCTCGTCGCCTCGCTGTCTCGAGCTTCGAACACACTATGGTCGGCCTCGAGGGGGACTGGTCAAGTCGTCTGAATTTTGTAACTAGCTCATCAAGATTGTAACTTGCTTAGTTAAATGAATTGTGGGGTTTAGTCCCTGAGTCCATTATGTGCCTCTGTAACCCTTTTCACTACCGCCCACAAGATGGGTATGGGGTGCATAATAAATGAACTAAACTAAACAAGTCGTCTACTGTAATTTCGGATACCGGGCTAGAAACAACTTCGTTCACCGAGAAATTTGTACTTCCAAACCAATTTGTTCGTATATGCGCTGGTTTGTGTTCGCTGCTGTTCTCGTCTGAATAAATACATAACACTTCATCATATAATTATTAGCGCTTCCATTAACAATGCTTAGCGCACTGTTTGT